TTTTCAGTACTAAAAACTTTTGCAAAAAGCCGCGAGCTATGAATTCAGTCTCACTTTTTTTTTAAACTTTTTTGGACAACACAATCGTGACCTTACTTTTTTCAAAGTTGTCCATTCTCAAAAAGCGCTCAACTAATAATCTCACTCGCCATCTGAATTGTCATCTTCGCCAAGAGCTTGTGATAATTCTTCAGCAACAGTATCTTTTTTTTTGGTTTCTTACCGTTCTCTTTGACCCACTTATTCCATTTATCTGTCTTCATAATATCACCATATTGGAACAAGCATGTAACGCAGCAAAAGCAAAAGTTAAGCATTTTTGTGGAGTCTCGTGACTTAATTCCAATTAGATCTGAACATTGAACTTGGCAGTGAAGACAATCATACTTTTTTTCAACACAAGCTTGTTCTTTCCTTTCGGCATCCTTAATAGCGACTTTTTGATTAGTGAAAAATTCTTTCCTGATTTTTGCTGACGAGAAGTGTGAAAGCTTGCAAAAATTGAATTCATTTTCAGCCAATACAATCTTGACGAGTTGAGGAGATGTCTTACGCTTATCAATATGACAATCTGTAGCTGGCACACAACACAAACCTTGCTTGCTCTGTCTTTCCTTCACATATGATGGATGTTCTTAATATTTCTCCCTTTCAAATATTAACTCAGGTTGAGAGTTGGATTGAGAGGCGTTAGTACTTGATGAACTATTTGCATTCAATGGTTGAGATGAACTTGATGATTGAGAATTTTGGAGAGAGTCTGGAGATATTGAGTCCAATTTCCTCTTTTTTGATTCTTTTTCAATAATGGACTCGTAATGTTTAATATAACAGGCATGTCCAGAATCTGTTTCTTGTTCATACAAGAACATGCATACCTTATTGTGACCCAGTAATTTACTGATAGGAATATCATTCAAACAGAATGGACAAGTGCGAGCTGATCCATTCTCAATGACAGCAATAACATCCTTGCGTCGTTGTTCAACCGACTCGTTTGTTGTTGAATTAATGGAGTAAAAACCTTGTGACATTTTTTCTTGGTTGTTCGAGATTCCATAAAAGTTACGAAATTAATTCATTCCAACTGCCAGCCTAACAAAAGGACAAAAATGAAACAAACACGAAAAAACATATGATTTGATCAAATTCGCACATCGATTTTGCATTAATTTCCCTTGTTTTTGCTTGATTTCTTGGTTTTTTCTTGTTTTCCTTGAATTTTCACTTTTTAATGCACAGAGTCAACTTCAGTGATTCAATCTGATCAAGTTTCATGAGAATTTGTACAAATTAACAGGCTGAAAAAATGGTTCTCTGAAGAGATTCAATTCTACCCTTCGATTCTTGCACACCCGTGGCAAATTTTTGCCACCGGAAAAAAAACCATTTTGTCCTCCTAATTTATTGTGACGATGGGGATCAAAACTTTTGAGTTTTTCAAAGTGAGATTATTGTTTCATGACGTTTGGAAAATCAAAGATTATAATGAGAATAGTAATTACTATTCACTCCAAAAACAGACGAAAAAAATGGAACAAAGTATTCTGTATCCACTCAGGTGCACATCAAACGTTCGATTTGTTTTTCTCGTTTTCCTTCTTTTCATTCTCAGCTTGCTCATGTATGTGGGAGCAAGCTGTGCTTCCTCTCTTCCATCTCCTGAGTTCGTGACGAGAAAACCCGGAATGAATGTTGGAAGATCTTCAAATCTGTCGGCCATTTGTTCATTGAAATGCAAATTCAAATGTTTGTACAGTGGTCATCGGCGTGTGATGATGTCAGGAATCAAGAATAGGACCTCTCGTGGATGTCCCATCTGTCATTGCAGGGGAATTGGAGCTCGAAGACGAAAACATTTTGAGGAATCGTTGGATACATTGGAAGATGTTCTTTCGGATTGGTGGTGGTTGTGGCGAAGATACAGACTTCCAAAGATGTAGTGAATGTGTTTGTGTTTCAATGTCTAGTTCTGAAGAAGAATTCTTCAGCACACCTCTCGTGTGATCTCTCGAGTTGCCGTCGTGATCATTATCTTGTGTGATGACACGAATAAATTGGCTTGAAAGTGGTCAGCTAGTGTGAAGTATCACTCGAGACACAATTTTACTGTTGTTGTTGTAATCGTGAAAGTATCTCTCCGTACTCTCTGCACATGCGTTGAATGGCTGAATCTGAGCTCGAAATGAGCATGATAATGAGTTGCTGTAAGATGCTTCTTTTTTGTTCACCAGCAATGTAGGGATTCCAATCGGTCATAGTGTCATTCTTAATGTTGCCCTGAACGAAAGGAGAGTAACTGATAGGCCCCAAAAGGAAATTAAATAAATCTCGCAGTCGATGGTCTTTTTGTTGTTTCGACAAGTGTTTGGCGTAGGCCTTGACGCAATGTAGGTATGTATTCTTGTCACCGATAGCAGCAGCAGAAGTCATTGCCATTTCTAAATCATCAATAATGTCAATATTTACATTTTCTGGGGTTGCTGTAGCGGTGGTGGCTTCTGGATGTGTCAATTTGAACTTTTTCACGGCTCGAGCTGCCTTTTGACGAAGTGTCATGAGGGTCACTTCTGTCTCTTCAGCATTGAGTTCATCTTCCTCTGTATTTGCCGTTCTACCTTGTGAAAGAAATGGTGAAAAGATGGAATGTGAGTCTGCCACACAAATCCAAGTGTTCAAATTCATGTCATAGGCAAAAGACTCCCCATTCATGAGTGTCAAAATTCCAACGCCGTTCGAAGTGACCACTACATCATCGACAATTCGGCTCTGATCCTCCTCGCTGCTAATACCTGAATTACTGAGTAGCGAGTCGACGCTGGCTCTCACCAGACACTTTCCCTTTTTAATGTCCCACAAATAAAACATGAGTTCGAGTGTGTAGACGACCAAATATTCACCACAACAATTCAAATGTTCCACCTTAGAATCCAGAATCATGGGTGGCAAGAGTCTCATTCCAGAGTGTGTTGAAAAGACGTGACACTGATTTGAGGGGAATGTGCAAATACATATAAAGTAATTGGTACCTGCAGCTTGAATTGGATAGTTGCATAGTTCGCTCCCTGTTCCTGAAACAGTGGCTTTCCATTTAATGGTTCCATTGGACTTGTATTCTACAAGTCCCTCAAGAGAGCAAGTCAATTCATCGCTCGAGCTAATTTTCAGATAGAGCGGCTCAGTAGGTATGGCAGAGATGTCTCGATGTGTGGCCAATAAAGTAGTAGGAGGTTGATTTTGCTTATTCTTCTTCGATTTGCTCTTCTTTTCTTGAGTGCCAGCTGCAGCATTTTGCTCTGTAGTATTGGTAAAATCCTGACGTGTTCGCTTCTTAATCAGTTCAGCATTGGAGACTGTCACTCCAACTAAATCACTCACTGTCGGAATAATGTTTGTTGATTGACCAAAACCAAAGGATGTTGAGGCAACAACGGATCTTGACTGATCCACTCGAGAACTCATCGCCTGCAACAGAGTGTCATCACTTCCTAAACCTAGTTGCATTGTGTCATTGAGTGTACCTGTGTTGGCATTAGTGTCATCTGCTCCTGTAGCACTTGTTGGAGGTTTTTGTTGAAGGTCTTCATCTTCGTCATCCTCGACAGCGGTATGGATTGGTATAATTCGCTTTTTACCTGATGCTGTGGTGGTAATGGTTTGTTGTTGCTGCACCGCCTCTGTTTTCTTTGGTTTTTCTGTCGTAGTGGTAGTACTAGGGATGGCTGTGGTGGATGGAGGTCTATTTGTTGCAGCGGTGGTATTGGTTGTTAATGAAATATTATTATTGGAGGCAGAATAGGGAAGTAATGGCATGGATGAAGGAGGAAAGTGACCTAATGCATTTGATTTTCGTGCCACCATGACCGAGTCATCCCTGGGAATAGAAAAAAAGGTGGATGGATACTCTTTCAAAACTCCTGTCCATTCAGTTCCGTAAAATTCTTTGAGCATTCTTTGTTTCGCTTCTTTGTCGATTGTTTTTCCAAAATAAACCTTCTCAAAGGCAACTAAAACGACTGTTCCATCAGTACAGCTGGCCAAGAGAGTGGTACCATCAGTGCTCCAAACCAAGTCACTAATTCGTTCTTTGCAAACATGTTTCAGTATCGCAATGGGCTCAGTCGACTCGGTACACCAAATCGTTATGGTTGCATCTTCACTGGCACACGCAAAAAACATTAATGTGTGGGTTGACTTTTGGAAAATGACAGGATTAAAGACAGAGCACGATACAGCGTCAGTTCCACTCTTGTATGAAATAAATTGTGATATATCATCCCGGAGTACAATTTTAACACAATATGACCCTTGATAAAACCCATTAGGAATGAGAATATATTTTCCACAAGGTGAGAAACTTGGTCTGTAGTATAGAATGGGAGCAGTACTGAACTGATCTACAATTCTCGTATGAAGTTGAAATTTTCCATCCACTAAAGCCCAAATGCATGCCATATTTTCCGACTGAGAAACAAGATATCTTCCAATTGGATCAAATGCTAGGCCTTTCACGTGATTCATGTGCTCGTTCGAGTTCAAAATGGGCTCATCAACATTCTTAGATGTCAAATCGTAAACAATGACCTTATTATCAATTGAACACGATGCCAAATACCTGGAATCATGGCTCCATGCAACAGAAAGAACATCCATTTGATGTGATTTAAACAACTTGTAATGTTTCCAATCTTCCTTTTCAGTACCAGCTTTAGTGACCTTAGAAAGTGACACGGAATAGTCATCAGATGCAGCTGCAAGAAATTTTCCATTGGGACTGAATCTCACGCAATTCACATTGGAGCTGTGTGTTGTAATTTCCTTGATAAGAAACTTGCTTGCATCTGTTTTCACTGTTTTCACTTGATGACTTTCTGTTGCATAGAGATCAGTTGTGGTTATCAAGGGTTTTGCATTACTACTTATACTATTCGTCGAATTGGTATTTGCATTCGAGTCTTCGGCTCTACTGCTCACCGTCGTTGATGAATTTTCTTCAGTAGTATTGCTGCTATTGATATTATTACCAGTAAGACTTTGACCACTCGGAGTGTTAGAATGAACATCCATGCTTTGATCCGATGATGGTGAGGAGGACGCAGTAAAATAATTACTTGATCTCCACACACAAACTTTTCCAGCATGAGCAGTTGCAAATCGTGTATTATCAGGATGAATATCAATCGAGAAAATTGAAGAAGACTTTTCCGTAGAGATCCAATGAACACTTTCAAGCAATAATTTCGGTTGTTCTTGTCGTTGTTCCGTGAAAGCCTTGTTTGGAGAAGAAGAAGAGGCTTTTAATTTCTTTGATAATGATGGAGAGGATGAAGAATTTTCACTCATTGGTTTCAGACTCCGTTGTTGTTGTTGTGAAGAAGCCACAGAGGATGAAGAAGAATCGGACGTGGAAGGGTTCGTTGTGGACATCGGTGTGTTCGTTCGTTTGAATGGATGAATTTTTTTTTCAAACAAATTTTTTTTAAATAGTTGGTTTTGGCGGCGGAATCATTCGAAAAAATTTGTGCCCTTTCTGTTCTATATGGCTTAACGCAATTGCACCAACATGGTTGTGATCCTTTGCTTTTAACTTTTTTGAGGGATCCATTCCATACATATATGGATCTTTGCATCTATTGTTTCATATCAAGAACGCAAAGGATGTGTTTCAAAATATTCCATAAAAAAATACAATAGTTGGTGATTTATAATATCTTCTTCCCTTTGATCTAAGGTGAGGCTTAATTTTGTGCATCGTATTGTTGTTGTGGATGGGAATATATTCCATAAAAAAATGAAACGATTTCCAATCGACGCTCATCAAGACTCTTCCTCTCATAAAAAGACGAAAATCATTCCGACCAGTTCAGAGAGGCAACAACAACAGCAGCAGCAGAACGATGAAAAGATTCCGAATTTCAAACAAGAAGTATTATCGATCCTTGCAAAATTAAATATGGATGAGGTGGGATTGATTATGGAATTTCTATGTACAGGTGAAATATTGATGATGAGCCTTTGTTCTAAACGGTGGTATGAGTCTATCTGTTCCATTGTCAAAGAAAAATTTCCTACATATGTGATTCATGACCATGATAATAGTCATGGATGGACACTCACTGCGGCATTAAGAGGTGCCAAATCTATTTCCATTTCATCACATGAAAGTGTTGAACAAGTGAGTCAAGTTGTGAATGAAATTGCAGAACAAGGATATTCTCTTTCATCATTCACTAAAAGATTTAATTGTGTTTCGATGGACCCCACAACTCTTTATGACATATTGAACACTCGAATTCAACAACGTCGAGATGAGAATGCAGCAACGACCAATGTTAAAACAGTTGTTTTGAAATTTGAAGATGATTTGGAAAAGAAAAGTCTGTATGATGAAGATGAGAACGAGGATGTTTCATTTAAAGACATTGAAATTAGGGAAATACCGATTGGGTTTAGCCTCAAAGAATTAACACTCAATGAAATGTCACTCGATCGATCAACTCTTTACAGAATCTTGTCAAAATGTTGTGCACTCGAAAAACTAGATCTTCTTTGTCTCGAGCCAGTGTATTATTCCGTTGGAGGTGATCGTGGTCGAGGTCGTGGAAAGGGAGGTTTTAAGCGAGGAAAAGTACTTTGTATTGAAGATGAAGAGGATGAATTTTACAATGAACAAGAGGGTCTTGTATATGTTCCAGTATTAGAATCCCTTAAATCTTTGACCTCTGACTCCATATTTGACTATGATGCAGGTGAGAAATTTATGATTGACATTTTAAAATTGTGTCCAAACTTGGAAGAGTTGCATTATATTTATCAGTATCCTGTCAATGACTGGTTTTTGAGCCATCTTGCCAAAATGTGCCCAAAACTTAAGAACATCAAAATTTCAGCCTACGATGGTGCAACTCCAATAGAGCTAGAAGTGACAGATGAGGGTATTTATGAATTTTTGAAAGCATTGCCTCAACTTGAGCACGTGGATTTTTATCCATGTTGTAACTTTCTAGGAGAGCTGTTTAAGAAGATTGGAGAATTCTCTCAATTGAAACATTTTAGAGTCATTCGAGAGGGCTACAATAGCGGATTGGTTACTATGGCAGATGATGTTCATTTTGGAGGAGGAATGTTGCCAAAACTCGAATACATTGGGGTCGGAAGATGTAATAATTTTAACACAAATGAAGAACTTGACAAATTTTTCACTACTCTTCGATCCATTGCCCCTCATTTGAAAGATTTTGGAATTATCTTTGATACAGATAGGAAGTTAATGAATGGGAAACAAATCATTGAGCTCTTTTCTGACTCTCTCACTCATTTGAACCTAGAAAAAGCATCTGCAGAGCTGATCAGCAATCTGCCCAAAAATCTTTCTACCTTAGGACTGATGATTGACAATGAATTTGCAAGCCAAAATATGTTGAGTCTATTACAGCCCAATCATGGACTTAAAAGGCTGAGCCTTATTTTTACGCAACCCATCTCACTCGAAACCTTTCAAAACATGATTGAAAAATTGGCTGTACATATTTATCCCTGTGTGACACATCTCGAGTTGCTTGATGTGGTCGATCGATCGGTCAGTGTGGGCGGCCACAATTTCAAAGGGATCGATAATTACTTGGATTGCATGTTTGAGAAAATTTTAAGAAATCCAAAAGCATGGCATGATTTGCGTTATGTCGATGGAGTAGCATTTTCGACCATAACACGATTGTTAAAAGTTCGACCAACGATTCGATTTAACTTGGATGAATCCGAAAAACACATAGTTCTTGAGGATGAACGTTCTAATTTTTATTATCAATGGTTGGTCCTGGATCAACCTTTTGAGAGTTGGTCCCAATAAAGTCAACTGAATTGAAAGTGTTGAAGATGATGAGAACAATGGTGAACAACAAAGAATACTCTTTAAACATATTTCAAAATGTCCAAACACTCAAACGTTGGCGTCCTCAATTAGAGAATCTCATCATGTCCTTAATAAATTGATGTATTTCATGCATGCAATTTTAATTCATTGAAAAATACTATTATTCAACTCTTTATTTACAAAATTCTTATTCAAAATCAATCTCCTCCTCTTCCAACTAGTTTACTTTTCCACAATCGAGAGAGTTTCCTTTGCATAATAATCCTTTGTTTTCATGGGCACATATTCGCCATTTTCCCAAGCTTGTAAATAATTGTCATAAGTCTTGGCAAAAATGTTTCCAGATTGTCCCATCGGTATCACAAATACACTTGCTTCCAAATTTGAGTGATCAATAATTTGTCGATAGGTGGGTCCAAAACTATTCGATAAATTGTCATCGGATGGTGCTCCTTCATTGATGGTATCTGTTCCTCCAGATCGTCTTGAAATTCTTGTTCCCAAACATCCAGTTAATCCATATGCTCCAAATAAAGGATGTGTAAATTTCGTCTGATGAATTCTATACGATGAATATGCTGGAATGAATGAAAATTTTGAACGCAACACTGAAAGAACTGCTTGCAATTGATCTCTTGCAAATCCAATACAAGTCTTATCACTTGAAAATTTCACACAATTTGGATCGACGACTGTTGGATTGGAAATTTCTTGTTGCATCACTGTGAGAGAGTATCGAAGCGAGGCTGGGAAGGAATTTTCTTTTGGTGAAAATGGAAGTTTTGTTTGATCGTATTGTGTCTCATTTGCAGCAAGTTTGGTAATATATTTGAGCCAATATTCAAAAATGGTGGCGAGTTTTGAATCAGGTATCATGTCACCATTCCAATCGATTAATTGTTTGCGAATTTTTTCTTGATATTCATCTTTGAATGGTTTCATCTTCTCGAAAATATTACGATTCATGATAAATAACTGACTGACGCTATCTGTTTGCAAATTAGTCATGTCTTGTAAGGTAATATTTGTTCGACTTGTCACTAAATTTGAAATTAAACTTTGAATTCTCATAGATCTTGAATAGAGCAAGCCATAATCATTGGTCAGTCGTATCACTGAAGGAGTATCTGGTTTGTTATTGGCAGAGAAAATGAAAGAAGCTTTTTGTTGCTTGACCTCTGTTGGAGTCAAATCTGGAAGAGCATCATATGGAGAGGTGAAAAATGTGTTGGTTTCTGGATCAACATCCCATGAATAATCTTCTTCAGCTGTCAAATAGGTCTTGACAGGTCGCAAACCCAAATTTTCATCGGGTTTGGTTCGAAGTGGAACTCGACCAGCAGTTGTATAGGCAATATTATTATTGGAATCTGCATAGAGGACGTTGAGTACAGGTGCCGTCAACTTGCCAAATGCCTTATCGAATTCATCAAAAGTCTTTGCGGTTGGAATGGTCAAGAATGTCAATAAACTAGTGTCCTGAATGTTCGTATCCAAATATCGGAGAGCAAGACGTTTCTTTCTTGGTAAATTACGAACTGAGTACAAAGTATCTACGAGAGGTCCAAATTGTGTGGAAGTTACATTGAATATTGCCTTTCCTCCATCTTTTAAAGTCAATGTGACCGATTTAACAGTATATGGAACTGTTTTTCCCTTATAAATGTAACCAGAGCCATCTTCTGTTTCTTGTACTTCATACAAATCCATAGTGTCTGCACCAGCATTGGTAAAAGACCATGAAATACCATTTCCATTTCTACCAATGATAATGCATGGTAATCCAGCGATGGAACCGCCAATAGTTTCCATTGGAATAATTCCTGTCACTTTCAAATGCATGAGAAGGAAAACATTTGGAGCTTGTAAATGAAGATGAATGTCATTGGCATGGAGAGGTTGTTTTCCTTGTGTGAAGTCTCCGGAAATGACCCAATTATTTGATGCTTGCATGTAAGGTCCCTTATTGGCGATAGATGACGAGAAAATGTTTTGTGGATCAAAAACGGACCAAGCCAATCGTTGTCTAATGGTAGAAGATGATGAAAAAATGTCACTCAAATCACTCGCACCAGAGAGAACTTTCTCAACAAGTCCATAAATGCTCGTCTTGGAAAAATCCAACAAATGATGCATTGTGTCACCCCATAAAGTATTGGTGTTTGATTGTTGTTGAGTGGCTCCATAAGTAACAGTAGTTGTGTTGAGATTTGTTTTAGGTTGTGTAATGAGTGGAAATCCATTTGGATACTCGTTTGGAAGGATGCTGGAAATTCTTGCAGCTGACAACCCCAATACATCCAATTCGTATCTCTGAATTTCAGAATAAATATTTCCAGAGAGAGTGAGTGACAAGTATTTGTGATGGGCTAAAATATCCGCTCCAGTGAATACTGTAGGTTTGTAGCCAATGAGTTGATACTCGACAGGAATTGCTGGCATTGTTTTCACGTAGAAACTCAAACCATTGGCGTAGGCGTCTAGTTTATCCCTGTCAGAGCTATTCAATAATTTATAATCTCGTTGAGCAGCCTCATAGAGACCCAAGGTGATATAGAATCGATCAGAAAATAGTAAATTCACACCAAATGTTTGTGACAAAGTGCCCTGAATTGTTCGTTTTAAAGTATCGATTTGCCACAATCTCTCTTGAGCATGAATGTATCCCTGTGTGAAATACAAACTATATTCATCGGATGCTGAAATGTGAATCACGTCATTTGCGTCACGCTCAACACTCACGCTTCCTTTTTTGAGACTATCGATGAATTTAGAAGCATAGGGCAATGCCTCCTTGTAGGTTGGGTTGTATGCTGACTCGTCGATAATACTTTGCATGTTCAATGTTCCACGTGTAATTCCCTGTGCTGTGTTTTTTGTAGTTCCAATCCAAACTGCAAAAATCACCAAACCTATCAACATGATGAAATAGACCAAAAATGATCCAAATTGTAAAAATTTCAAAATATATTCCGTTGTTTGTTGATATGCTTGATTTCTACGAGTTTCTTCAATAAGTGACGCAGCTGCATTTGATTGTTGCTCTTGTTGAGCGGAAGACGAAGATTCGACATTTTGAGGGACGCCTCGATTTCCGACTGAAATTAAACTTTGTTCGTCACTGATCCCATCTCCATCTTGATTATAATTTTCATAATGGTCGTCAGAGTCATCCTCAGAGTCATTATTCAATTCAGCAAATTCATCATCGACTCCATTACGATGAACCGCTAAATATGGAGCAGTGTTTGATTTACGTTGTTTTCGAGCATCTCTCAACATGATTGCCACCTATTGTTGTTGTTGTTGTTGGAAATACAAAGGAAAACGCATCACGCAAGAAGAGTATTTGAAATGTGATGAGTATTGACACATTTCCATAAATAAAAAAATTGTTTTTCAATGATCATGAATTGATTTTTGAATATTGATCAATTTTTCAGAATGATCATCATCATGGACGCACATCCAATGAAATCATCATTATATGGTTATTCCATGATGATGATCATTATAGGATTTAAATAATCAATAAATTGAAAATCAAATATAAAATCAAATTCATCATTACATTCCGATATCATCATCATCATCAAAACAATGGAATCATTTGTTCAAATTTCAATGCAGACACCAACACCTACCCATAATGCTAAAATCAACAAAAATCCAACCAACGACAAGACCACAAACGCAAACAACGAATTACAAATGGCAATGAGATGCGGAATGGTAGCAATCAAGTAGAAAAAGGGAATGGAAAAGAAGAGAGTGGCCACCGAGATGAAGATGAGCCAAAAAACCGACGAGGAACAAAAAGGCTTTGAACCACGTCGACCCTTTGTTTGAATCATTTTTTTGGAAATTTTTGGAAATGACAGGAATGACAGGTTTCAATAAGGTGAAACTGAAATAAAAGTTTTAAGTGCTGAGAATCAGAGATTCGGTTGGATTCATGTGAATGTTATTATCAGAATCTCAACATGTTTCATAATGACTCGCTGAAGCCAACTTAAACATCAAATTAGTGATATAATCTCTTTGTGAGAGTTTTGTCAGAGCAAACATTTCAACGTGTTGAGGCACCAATAGTGATGTGGTGTTTCCTTTACATGTCAGAATGTGAGAAAAATATCGACAAGATACTCACAACGTTTTCCGAGAATGTAATGTACACCATGAGAAACTGTTATAATGTTGCCATAACAGAAGTCTAATCCTTAACAAAGAACAGTCACTTATCCTCACTCCAAAACCATTCTTCTACTTTATGGAAAATGAATATACACACTCCAGGCTGCCTTGTGAGCAAATACTCACCCAAGCTGTGATCCGAACCCTCTAGAATGCTCTTGGGGTGGTTTGGAATTACAAGCCACACATCAATACATCTGAAGAATATTTTAATTGTTTTTTTTGTTGATAGTTTGGCATTCAAAGCACAAGTCACCATTTAGGGTAGTTTCAAAATAGTATTTAAGCGGTAAAAATGTGGTAAGGCTTGACATCCTTTTGGCGCGGTCATGTTGTATCGGAATGTGGTTCGAGTGAACATCAAGGCTGTTTGATTTAACAGTTGGCCCTCTCCGAACTTGTTCAAATTGGCATTCAAGAGACATTACAATACGCTTAATAATTTTATTGATTTGCATTTGTGGCAAGTTTATTCTTCAAAGGTGAAACCAATCGAAGTGTGGAAAGTTGATGAAAGGTTCATCATTCTTCTTGCAAACATGCCTTGAACGCTCTTTTTTAGTATTTCTCAAATTGAGATGGCATCTTAGTGAACATGGAATTCCATCTTTCATTGCCTTTTGCATATGTGGAAGCAATAAGTACGAGTAATTGTGCATTTTTCGATACCAATACCTCAGTCAACCAGGAACTTTAAGTAAAGTTTTCAGTTGACTAAAAAATTTTACATTATTTTCACAAGAAACTGATAAGGTTTTGAAATCAAACAACTCCCTTACTAAAGAAGCGTTAGAACAAATATACATGAATAACAATCAATTTATTTTCTGATGATTGGTGGAATAAACTTTCTTGGATTGAGGTCTTCGAGGAATTTACCTGGATACTTCCAACTTAACATGTTCTCATTCATATACTTCATCACAACCTCCTCAAAGTATTGTTATATTGTTAATAAATCATTCACAGAGTTAATCATGGGCAAATTCATTGATGTTCGCGACATTCATTGTTGTGTAATAAATGGCTCAATATTAGTTTGCATTAAATGTAAATCTATTGGGGAACTCTCTAATTTTAATCTGTATAAAGCGATAGGCCATATCATTTTCATCAAATTGCGAGTGAAGTAATATTGAGATGAGATCGTATCAGAGTTATTAAAGAATTACCTGTAATTAAAGAGTTGTGCCCAATATTCAATCGAGTGATGTTTTTCATGTAGGGACTTTTGCTTAATAATATTAACTCGTCGTCACGAATACAATCACGCTCCAGGTCAAGAGATGTTAAAATTTACAAATGAAGGACAGTTGATAATGTGAAGAAGGGTTTCCTCACTATCAAAACACTGAGATAGATTCAGTGATGTGAGATTGTTGAATGTGTGCCCATTTTTTGCCATCGCTCGTACTCCGTTTTTGGTGACAGAGTTTTTCGATAAGTCTAATATCCTCAACTTTTTGAGATGTTCACTGTTTGAGAGAGCATCAACTCCACAAAAACCAATATAATTGTCACGGATATCGATGTCCGTCAGATTTTTCATAAATTCACTGTTGGCAATGGTACTAATACCAATGTCTCCAATAGAACATCCCCTTAAATTTAACGTCCTCAAATTTTTCAAATAGGCACAGTTGGCAATTAAATTGGCTCCTTTTTCTCCAATTTCTGAATTGTAACGCAAAGCCTGCTCATATATTTGCTTTCACTGATGGCTGTTAGATCAGAATCGGAAATACCAAATCCGTCAAGCCGCAACATTTGAAGTTCTTTCATGTTTGCAATTAATGAGATATCACCACCATGTAAAAAAATATAGTTGAAAGATAATGTTTTTAGTCCTTGAAGATGTTCACTTGAAGCAATTAATTGTATAGTGTCCGATTTCAAATCATTGTAATCCAAAATGAGAGATTTCAGTGTGTGCATCTTGTTTGAACCAGCTATTAATTCAATACAGCAATGAATTGAGTTTGGTAATGTTCGTAACTTCAATGAAGTCAAATTCAAATGAATGGAATTTGAAGTAATAAGTCGGAGGCTATCGAAAACATAACCCTCCGTGTGGGCCTTGTCTTCGGTGGTAAACTCTATGGACAAGGGAATACGAGATACTAGTTCAAACCATTGTTTTGAAACTCTCATGCAACGAGAACACAAAATCTCCAATCCAAATATTCCATAATATGATAAATCATGTCACTTCCCACTTGACTGAGGGTGTCATATTTGAACTCAATCTTTGTTTTTTTGTTGGACAAGTGCATTTCTCCCATTTCATTCATCTTTCGTTTATGAAACGATTCTTCTTCAGAAATGGTTTGCTCTGACATTAGTTTTGACATCAGTCTTTTTCTTTCTGAATCAATTCTCCTTCTTCTTTCCATCTTCCATAAATTCAAACATTTTGAAACATGTTTAAAGAGTATATCATTATCATGACTAGTTGCAAATTGAGAATATTCCTCTTCATCGTCATTCATCTTCCCCTCCTCATCCGACGAACGTGAATCGTAGGGAGTGCGAGAATCCATACATCCGACGTCATATGAAATGGCTCTCAAACAAAAGGGACAAATTCGCTGACCACAACCACCACTCCACTCATTCATTGATTTTTGAATCAATTCAACAGTTGATTCTTCGTGATGATTCAAGCTTTGATCCAATTGCGGGATTGAGGGTTTCATTTTTTTGGCTTTATGAATATTATTAGCGCGGGATTGGGTCCACAGAAAATTGGTATTTTCTTGGATTAATTGTGTGTCATGGTGTTACTCTCCTCCATGGCATCGTTCGTGAGAGATTCGATCATTTTCTTCAATGTTTGTGGCATTTCTCCTTTCCACAGAGTAACCATGTGGTTGTAAAACTGTCGACTTTCATCCACAAGTCCAGCATGAATGAGACCTTTCAATACGATGGCTAATGTTTGTTCGGGTGGATCAACATTCATTTGAAGCATTCGATCGAAAGCATCGAGGGCTTGTCTTGGCTGCTGATTTGCAAAATATCCCAACAGTAGGATGTTCCATGTTCGAATGTTGGGCACTCGAGTTTTCACAATCTGCTCGAAAACCTCAACGGCCTTATCAAAATGACCAACTTTGCTAAAGAAGAAAATCATGACAGCTAAGACGGCCTCTTCTTTTTGACAGAGCTTGTTCTGTTTGATCATCTCAACAACCTTCTCTCCATTGACAATATCTCTAGAACGAGCACATCTCTGGAGTAACATAATAATGGTTGGTGGTGATGGATGTGTCTCCTCATTGTTAGAAATAATCATCTCGTGCAAAACTTCGCAAGCCAAATCTCTTCGATCAATCATAGAGTAGGCCTGTATCATACAATTGTACGCATTGGTATCTAACTTTTTCTGTTGCCTCATCTCTTCAAGGGTCAACAATACCCTTTTCTTGTAGCGGAATTGCAAATAAAAATGGACCTTCGCAGTTTTGACTTCCAATTGGTTCTTAATGTGGTCATACTTGTTCACTACATCGATAATGTATATGCCTTCCTCATGTAATTTGTGGTAGGTGCATGCAGCTATCAAGGAAGCGAAAGAGTAGCTATTTGGTTCATATCCTCTCAATTTCATTTCACGAACGGTATCAATTGCTCCACGAATATTGTCCACACTCAGATTGGCACGAATTAACAAATTCCACGTTTCAACATCCATTGCCTCTTTTTCGTGTTTCATCTTGTTACAAATTGTTATGGCAATTTGTGGTTGGCCACATCTTATGTAAAGATTCATGATGGATGTGGTCAATTCGGCACTGCACACGTTGCGCTGCTGCGCTTGTTCATAAATTTTCTTTCCCTCATCAAATAATTTGTGCTTTGTACAAGCTGATATTAGTGTTGAAAAGTTTGACGGCGATGGCTCAATATTGGACTTTCCCATTTCATTCAAAACATCAATGGCTCCATAAGTGTCTTTTTGTGAAATTTTTGCCTGTATCCAACAATTCCATGTGACAAAGTTCATAGTTCCATCTTGTTTCATCTGTTTGAAAATTTCAATCGCCTCTTCTGAGTGACCACAAGCAATGTACAAATAGGCAATACTATTGTACAACTCGGTGCAATGAGGATATTCATGCTTGGTCAACATGTGAATTATCTTTCCTTCTTCCAAGGCTTTCTTTTCTGAACAAATTTTAACAAGAAAAATCAATAAACCAACTCGCGGTACAAGGTTGAATTGTTTCATTTCCTCCAAAACTTCCATGGCTTGTGTGAGATTTTTTGACTTGCAAAGAGAGTTCAATAACAACGCATAATTCACAGGATTTCCAGCATCACCCATATTATTGAGGTGGTTCATAATGCTTCTACATTTTTCGTATTCTCCATAACTTGAAAATATTCTCAGCATTTGATGTAATGTAACTTTCTTGGGTAGTCTCAATCCCTTGTCTACTATATAATTATACCAATAAATAGCCTCTTTTTCTAAATTTTTATCCTGAGCTAACCAGTAAATAAAAGAAGTCCATCTATTTGGAGCGATATACTTGCGAAGTTCTTCTTCTTTGAGAGTTTTCAGTAATTCTACCAACTCGTGAATAAAGGTTTTTTTGTTTTCCTCCTTTTGAAATTTCGAGCATATATCGATCATTTCCATTAAAATCAAAATTCTTTGTCTCACAGAGGGTGTTATCGGTTGTTTGTAAATGTCCAAGTATTGTTCAAAACTGAATGTTGGGCTATGAATAAAATACAGTGCATCTAAAGTGTTAGGTCTCTTTCTGTATTCCAATAAACAATTTTCTAAATCATTCTTTAGATAAAGTCTTTGAGCTTTGGATAGGCGATGTCGTTTTCTAAATGAACGCAAGTCATTACGGAAGCGGTGATTATTCAGTTGAGTTCCGATAGTATCATCATTTCCTTTGTTCAATGACGTCATTGTTACAGCATCATCATCATCCTTGCCAATACCATGCTCACTACGTAAAAAACATTGTTTGCTAAATTGCTTTAAGAAATAGGAATGGCTTGTTTGTAGATATTTCGAAAAGTTGTAATAAAGGCTTGTCCTCGCTATTAATCGATACCGACAATCGGAAATTATTGAAGATGATGATGAAATGAAAGAGCGACACAAATGAAGCATTTTTGTTTGTCTGGAAAATTGAAAAAATTTAAATTGTTGTAAAAAATTTATTGATTTTATTTTATTATTAATACTGACTTCTCACTGATTCATAACAACAAGTGGATGAAACAATGAGAAAAACATTTTTCTTCCAACACAACAACAAGTGTTTTAATTTCATAAAGGCACAACCATTGCCATCGGGACAAGCTACAGCTGCGTGTTTTTCCAATTGGCAACAACGAATCTACTCATCCTTCCGACATTTTTCAATGAAAAATCTTACAAATTCACTTTCATCATCATCATCATCATCCATAACGACACTATCACCATTCACTTATTTTCGTATCAAATATAATCAGAGCATTAAATCAGCACCCTTATTTCGATATTTATTTCCGTTAGGAATTTTGAGTGTTTTGATTTCCTATGTGAGAGGAGTGAGAGAGTATAATCGGAATGTGGAGATGCATATCCCCTATGATGTCTATAAATTCAGTATTAAAGTAACGAAGAAAATGGTACAAGAATTGATGTATTTGAAAAATCAACATCCGTCTGTGGATTGGAATAACTCGGAATTCATTCATGCTTTGATTGTCAATTGTTTTGATAATGCTCATTCGAGACTCATGTGTCAATACATGCTGGACAAATACGGCAATGAAATTATCAAGGAAGTTCTCAACAGCAATAATCATGATCCCTCAAAGAAGGAGCCTCGAACGACTCATGCTGATGAAGTATTTAGCAATTTATTCAGTAAGATTGATTATGCCAATGTAGCCAACGAATACTTTCATCAGTATGTGCAACAAACTCCACTCACTTCGTCGTACTTGGCTCACGATTGGAAATATAGAATGTATCGAATAGTCCATGGGGAGAGTGACTAGTTTGAACAACATTCTTACATTGTGCCAAGAAATGTATATTTTCCCAGAATGTTCTGTGTGTTGATGTTGAATAAGGGCCAAATGCTTCCTAGTTTGCAAATTATGTTTCCCAAAAGTTTGGTGATCAAGAAATTTTTGAATTCCACATTTGCGCAAAGGAGCATGGATAACGAAGGTTAGGTTTTATTCTTGGTGGACCTCTTGCATATATTACTTTTGAATGCTCAAATAAAGCTTCAGCATGAGCACCCTAAAGTCAATTTGTGTGATAGGCTCGTTGGACTCTCGCAATCTCAGCCTTATCTGCAACCTTTCATCTGTCAATGTTGACAGGTGATGGAAAGCACCACAAGAAAAAATTAACAGCACTTCCGCCATTGCTGCTGTGTTGTTGCTGACTCATCATCTCACCAATTTATCGACCATAACAGCAACGAGAAACATTGTTGTTGATTCTTCTCGCGCACAAAAACGAGTGTATTACAAGTAACCAATCAGTTCTTGGTCGTTGACTTTCCCAACAGTAACAACATCATCTAGATCTTGAAATTTGATACAATTTTATTATCAATCATCATCATCACCCCTAATAACACAACGAACGACTCATCATCATGGACACTCTCATTGATGGACTTGTGGATCGAGTATCCAAATTGGTACGTAGTATTAGTATTATTATTGGGAATTTGTTAGAGTTTTCATCATCGTTTTGTCCTAATAATTAACATTTTGTTGTTCTCATCATTACGGCTATTGAATGAAACATTTCTCACATGTGAAATTCTTCTTGCCCTATGATGATGATGGTGTATGTTCATTGTACCCAATCATCATGATGATATGATTGATAACTTGTGTTTCTCTTTACAACATATAATTGTATTCCTCGACGACACACACTAAACCACAATGGTTCACATTATTGTAATTCTTGATGTCATCATTGATCCGCTCCATTGTCGGTTCGCACAACATCTGGCTCGTTTGTTGTTAAAATGCCACTTCTCGCCAACAATAACAACAACATCATGACCATCACCCATATCCAACATACTATGTACGACACAACGGTTGTTGTCTATATAACATTCAATGATCATCACCACTATTTTGTGAACTTGTTGTGTATCACATTGATGTCAATTCAATTCCAAACAATAATTTTGAATATTGACATCTTTTTGCACAATATGCACTACAGCTACCTTTCAATTCTCGTTCCACAACGAATACAATGGGAGATCTACGCCAAACAGCAACCTCTCTCATCAAACTCTCCAATTATCAATTGGATGCTGTTGTCGGCGGTCTCATTCACATTAATACAGCACTCGAAAAGAACTATCATAATGTCATGACGTCCCCAGAGGCACTTGCTTCGATGGGACTCAATTTGCCAGGATTCACAGGCTCTGCATCATCATCAGACAATGGTAAAGCCTCTCTCAATGATTTTACATCAGGCAGCAACACATCCAACACCACCCCCACAGCAACTCCAACAGCCTCACGATTGAATTTATTGGACGGACTCAAAACAGCTGTGACCGATAAACTCGGAGGTGGCGACAAAATTTCGGGCAGTGGTTCCACAGGTGCAAATTCTTCCTCCACTTATCCCAACAATAGCAACACGATGATGAGTTCCTCTTCCCTCATGAACAACTCAATCTCTTCCACTGCAAGTTCCGCCTCTACTTCCCAAATACCTCCCGAAGCTCTCCACGCAATGGAAGAAGAAGTCTACGAACGTTTCGTTCGTTCCAAAATCATTATTTTTCAACTTTTTTTAAAAACCTTGAGTGCCGCCATCAAATACGATCGTTTGGATCTACGATTCGATGATGATCACTTGCTCATGATTGAGGCAGATTCCTCCAATGTGGAGGCTTCTTCTTCCTCTGGCTCGAATGCCCCTACCTCCTCGTTTGAGGCCACGATAGGTAACAGTGCAGGGTTTGGAGAAGACTTGGATTGTGGAAGCAGCACTATTGCGACCACCCTGACCGATCTCAATGTCGGAATGGACGATTCGGCCACAACCTCTGAAGAAGAATTGATTCCACCTGCTGGTTTCAAAGAAGATGAAATTCCAAGATTGAATAATGACTTTTCAGAGACTCTTTTAACGCAAATTATGGAAACCTTGTTTAATTTGAAGAGTCTTGCATCGAGTGGTGGTGGAAGTGGTGTCGGAGGAATTTTGAATGCCAATACCAATACTGCCAATGATGAATCCTCCAAAACCAAAGGACCTAATCAATATTTGAAGCATTTGGCTGCTCGTGTCCTCTTCAAATTGTCAGTTGTAAATTTTGATGTCGTATTCGTGAGAATTGAGGACTTCTTTAAAAAGATGAAATCCGATGAGGTCGACGAAAGAATTTATCAAATGATTGAATACATCAATTTTGATGCTGCTAAATTGACAAGATTAATTGCACTCTTGAATGAAGTTCAAGCTAAATTGAAACAGAAGGCCTTTGTTGCTCTTGCTGCTCCGTTGAGACAAGCCATTTGGAATTGGATCACAAATTATCCTCATCAATTTATTTCAAATTGTCAGAAAAAGACTGAATTACCTGGAGGTCCACAAAAACTCTTTAATGTGATTGCAGAGAGAAAATTGAAAAAGCAAATTCCACACATATGGCCACTTCAAGCCATGATTCTCTTGTTGTGTCCAGAAGTTTTTGCCAATACCATTATGGCAGTGAAACAAGGCGACAAACCAAAAGCAACTGAAAAGAAGGAACACAAATTCTTGGAAAAAATCTTGAAGGCACTCAAAGAAAAGAATACCAAACGTGATGTCAATTCAGATACTGCTGTTGTGTGTTTCGTTGATTATTATAAGGCCAGTACCTATTTGAAGAGTAGAGATTTGACAGCATTCCGTTTCTTGAATAGTGAAGTGCAAAATGCTCTGCATGAACGTTTGATGAATGTCGATAACCCAGTTCGTCGTTACGGTACCGAAGAAGTGGATGTCAAATTGATGGTCGACTTTTTCGTTTCTGCCTACAGAATCAATCAACGACATGTGACAAGTTACATTTTCCCTCATTGCTTCAAGTCAAAGAATACTGTTTTCAAGTTGGCTTTGGCTAAAGCAATGCTCAAATTGGCCCGAAAGAATTCTACTTCTCTCAAGTGGCATCCAACTCTCGCTCATAGCTACAAACATATTGCCAAGTTCGTTCGTACCATGTTCCAAGAATTACTTCAACAAGAAAGTCTTTTGTATAATAAGCGTTCGCAAGTTTCACAACCATCCTCCAATTCTAGTTCACAAACACCACCCTCAACTGAGACTTTATTGGCTTGCTTGGCTGTGTTCTATGCTGAGCCTCGTCTAGTTTTAGAAAACACAAGTGACAATATTGCTGGTCACATTAACGAAATTTTATACTTCTTTGTTGGTTTGGTGAATTGCTTGGAAGGTGTCTCAAATTATCAAGTTCAGGCTCAAGCTTACAAATTGCTTCAAAAATTGTTCCAACCACACTACATTATGCAATGGTGTCCACAGGATATTGCAACAGGTTTTATTGACTTGAGCTCTTCAGTTATTTCTAGATTATGCTTTATCTTATTCCAAGATAAGGAATCACAAGGACAAAATGTCACTACAATTTTGGAATTGGTCAAAGATGTTTGTACTGCATCGAACAAGTTCTTAAGCTTACACAAGGACAAGATCACTGAACAAAACCTTGCAAGCAGAAAACGTACTCAAATGTGGGAATCTGCCGAGTCCACATTACTAGTTCTTTTGTGCTCTACTGATCCTGATATTTGGACAACTGCTGCAAGCGTTTTCGGAGATTTGTGTGACATGATCGACATTTTGGAGAATAAGGAGACTCACAATGGTATTGCTCAAAATTATCAACTCTATCGTAAGATTTCGAAATTGGATGAATTGGGTAAAACAAGAAACCATCAACAGAAATCAATTCGTCGTCTCTTACGTCGTGTCGAGCTGCAAACCAAGGCAAACTTGGCTGCATTTATTGAAATGTACTCTAGATGGAAGGATTTCACCAAGACCCTCGAGGAAGGATCCATCCGGAACAAGGAAATGATCGATGACGCACGTCTTGTTGAACACACTCGTTTGAAGAATTTGTGGAAAAACTATACTGCATTTTTGTGTTCGATGGGTGGTGTCTGCTTACAATCAAGCGAAAGCTTGTTGACTCCTCAACAACAACAACAACAGCAACAACAAAACCCTCAATCTGCACAAGATCAAGAAAACGATGGTTCTCTCTCAGCCAGAGGTGCTAGAGCTGGAACTGCTCTGAAAAAGGAAAAGAAGGACTTCTCCATGAAAGATGACCTCATTAGAAATTTGATGAGATTGGTGATCAGTGATGTACCACTGATTCGTGACAATGTTGCACAAACGATTGGTACCGAATTGGCTCCATCACTTTATGGTGTCTTGTTCCAAAATTTGCATAGTTATGTCTCTGGATGTTTCGAAGAGGGAGCATCCATTGTTAAAGTGTCGGCAACATCTACATTATTCGTGGAAAAGGCCATCCATATTGTTCGTTCTGTTTTGGAACAAGCTCAGGAAAACTCTGAAGATTTGGCTATGGCAAAGTTCGAGACTTTGATTTTGAGCTTTATTAGATATTGTTCTCAACTTGTTCTCAACAAGGATTACAATGTGATCAAATGTAAATTATGTATTCTCATTGAACTCATGATGAAGAGAAAGGAGTATATTACATTCAACAATGAGATCATGTTCAGATTTGAATCATTGAGACATATTAGTGAATGGATGAGTGAATTCGTCAACAAGACAGCCGTTAATAGCACAACATCTGTTGTTGAACTAGATTTCCCTAATCTTGATGCTCTATGTATGAAGGCAATTTCTGCAGTGCTTAAGGATTTGAGCTTTACCAAGGTTCGAGACAAACAATCGTCAGGAAACAGCTCTGAAAAGAATGAAGATATGAATAAGCGTGAATTTATCAAGTACTTCTCTTTCCTTTCGAGATATTTGACTCGATCCAAGACCGATAAGGATGCTCATCCTCAACTCAGAGAATACACCATTCTCTCACTTGGAAATCTTCTCGAGTCTAACATTAACTATGGTCTTGAACAATTCATGAAAATGACCTACATTGAAGATCAAGAAACTCGATCTGCTTTCTTGAGTGTTTTGACTCGTGTCATGAAGCAAGGTATTCAGTTGGACGAGGAACAAAGTGCCGAAACTGTCAAGAAATATGACAAACTTCTTAACATTTTGCTTGACAGTCCTCACTTGGATTTGGTCTTCTTGATGCTGTCAAGTGTTTCAGTGAGTGAAATGGATGACTTGTGTAAGGCTCTCATTCGATTATTTGCTGAAAGAGGTAAAGCCCTCGATCTTCTCAAGAAGTTGATCGACAAGGAAATTGAAGCCACCACATCGGTTTCGACTCTTTTCAGAGCTAACAGCTCTGCTTCTAAAATGTTAACCGCATACTGCAACACAGTTGCTGCATCATACATGGTTGAAACTATCTCTGAACTTGTTAAAAAGATTGTTTCTGATCCAGTCTGTTTCGAAATTGATGACACAAAATCACTCAAGGAAGGAGAAACAATTGAAAAGAACGCTGCACATCTTGCATCAACAGCTCAAGAATTTTTGGAACGCATCTTCTCATCTATTGATGCCATGCCATCCCAAGTTCGTTATATTTGCAATTATCTTGCCCAATCTGTGAACAACAAATATCCTCCACAAAAAGGCGAGGAGGATAAGCACTCTGCCAAACATGTGATTGTAGGCGGTTTGTTGTTCCTTCGTTTCTTGAACCCTGCGATTGTGTCTCCAAAGAACTCTGGTATGGTTGATCAAACTCCAAGTCCTGATGCCTCGAGATTCCTCCTACTTGTGACTAAATTATTGCAAAACGTTGCTAACGGTGTTAAATTTGAGAGAAAGCAAGGTGGCGCAGCATCAGATAACAAAACAATCAAGGAAGGCTACATGGTCAGAATGGATGACTTTGTTGTCAAGAATCTCGAGAGAGCTCGTAAATTCTTCGATTCAGTTTCAGCTGCAGTACCATCTGATTTCAAGGAAACAGAACACATTCTCGAGGATGAACTTCGTGAAGAGAACTTTATTTGTGTTCACAGATTCCTCTTCAATAATATGGAAAAGATGCAACAACGATTGGTACAATTGCAAAGATCAGGCTCAAATAATCTTCCTCAAAAGTCCATCAAAAAATCAATTGAAGAATCTATGGATGCTCTTGCAGTCTCACCTGTGACAGATCCAAAGAAAGTTTCAGAACATATGGAACGCTTGCAAGCTGTACTTACTGAGCTCGGTAAACCTCCAGAAAAGGAACAAAAGAAAGCAACAGTTGCTGCAGCATCTGAAGAGTTTAGTACAGGACATTTGTTGCAACTCTTCAGTGACAACAAGGACAAGGATCTTACTCAAATCGAAGAACGTAGGATCTTTTACAAGTCTGGACAAAGCAAGGAGCAACGACCAGTCTTCTACTTTATTCTCCAAAACTTGGGCGCTCATTTTGCAGAACAAAGTTCTGGAGACAAGGAAGATGAGAAAGTCATGTACCACGTATTCAAGACCCTCTTGACTGCTTGGACAAAACCCTATGAAATTGTGGTAGATGTCACTGGTTTGCGTGAAGAGACTGGACTCCAACCTGGTCACATTGTGAACTTCTTCAAAACATTACCTCCTGGCGCAAGAAAGAATTGTGCTCGTGTCATCTTGTTCAATCCAAATTCATACCTCAAGACGCATCTTTCTCAAAAGTTCTCATATGTTAAGAGAAAGGCCATCAAGAAGAAGCTCTCGTTCTGCATCTCGATCCGTGAATTGGAAGAATTTATTGAAAGGAAGAATATCGATTTACCTCAATCCACATTAGATTATGAACGTGATGTTGAATCAACTTTTGCTCCTGCATGGATTTTGTCTCAACGTGGAGAGAGAAAGGAAGCTATCATCAAAGTTTCCAAGAAGTATTTGTGTGTCATCACCTTGGAAGACTCTATTCTCAATCATGACACAAAGAAGATTGACTTTATTGAGTTATTGTCCATTTCTCATGCCACAATTTCCACAAGTGGCAACAGTGAACATGTCTCTGTTGAATATGGAGGAAATAACAAGATCATGTTGAAGGCTGAAAAGAATGATCTCCTTCTCATGAATATTAGAAACTCCATTTTCAGACAAAAGAGTGAAGCATCATTGGATGACAGAGTCGGAAGAGAACGTGCTGAAGGTATTCGTCAACAAGATATTCCAGGATCATTATTGAACATGTGTTTCCTCAACTTGGAGTCCAAATTCCCTCGAACAAGAACAGAGGCTTACAATTTATTGGCTGCTCTTGCTGAACAATTCGAATTCCCTGTCACATTAATGGAAACAGACTTGATTTGTGTTCCTCACAACACTGGAGACTTGGTGGTTCACTTGTCTGAACAAGTCAGTAAGGCCAAGCCAATGTTGACCACTCAATTCCTTCGAGAAGCTTTGCGTGGATTCAACAAGATCAGTTTACCATACAAGTACTTGTGCTTGAAATACATGAAGCCATGGATTAAGAACTTGTCCGTTATTTTCGCTCAAGCCAATGATGTCAAACAACAGCAACAACAACAACCAATGAGTTCCGATATTAAGGGTGGTTCATCATATGATATCGGAGTGTTGAATGGTTCCCTCATGACTTCCTATGAAGCTCAAGTTCAAATTGATAGAACCAATGAATGGTTCCCAGATTTGGTCAAGTCCACCATTGACTTCCAAGATATTTATCCTGCTGTATTGTCTGAAATTTGGGGAGAATTGTCAAAAGATGGAGCTCTTGTTGACATTTCAATGAGATGTATTTTAAATGCTGCTCATGAAGCAGGACCAAAATCATCCAAGAAGTTTGACATTTTGAATGACTTGGTAATTACATTGGCATCTGGTGGACATGCTCCAATCGTTGTCAACATGATTGTTGAGCAAATGATGAATGTTATAGATACAGAAATTCGTGAAGTGAGTGACAATCTTGAAGAGAGTCCAGGATGGGCAAAGGCAATTATTTATTCAAGATTCTTGCTCATGTTGAGTTTCCAAAACAGAATTTCAGTCTTGGAGAATTTACCAACATTGATTTATATCATTTCCATGATGATCGGAAGAGGAAACATGTTCCTTCGTTCGACAATTCGTGCTCTAACCATCAACGTTGTTCACTCGTTAGCCACCAGTCTTTCATTCACCAACGAACACAAGAAGATTATGCAACAACATTTGAATAATCTTGTTTCTGATAAATTCCAAATCATGTTCATGGGAACAGATGCTGCTCGTGACATTGATCCATTCGTGTCCTTTGAAGAAGGAAGCAGCGTCACCACATCTTCTAAAAAGGAGAAACCATTGAAGATTTCTCCAATTACCATGTGGGATTTAGAAACTTTGACCCACTTCTTCTATGAAGTCACCAAGACTTGTTACTTGGTAGATCCAGAATTACAAAAAGGATGGCACAAGGAACTCGTTCAATTATGTCGTTCACAAGCTACCAAAGCAAGTCCAGTTTTCCTTCCTCGATTGTTGACCATGTATGGAGTCCTTGTAAAACCAGGAGAAGAAACTCAAGAAACACTTCCATTTGTTCTTGATCGAGTTGTTGAGAGCTTCTCCTCCCTCACCGATAACACTGTCACAACCACCACTCCATCCTCATTCCGTAATGACTATCGAGTTGCTTCTCTTCTTTGTCTGGGTCAGTACAGTTACAAGATTTCACCTGATGAACCAATCATGAAGCAATTATTTGCCATTCCAATTGTACTTCTCGGTTTGAGTGACGAGTTTTTATTCCCAGCAGTGGTCCATTTGTTGGATTGCGTGTTGAATGCTGTTGCAGCTAGTCCTCAATTCCAACAATGTGCATCTATTGAGGAATATTTCAATACCTATTGTCGTGTTCAGGGATCTTTGATTGATAATCTCATTACCAAATTTGAAGTCACTTGTGGAGTCAGCTTCCGTACTCACTTCTCTTTTGCATTGAGCTGTCTCTTATTACGTGGTCTCACCAATCAACAAACCAAATCAGTCACCAGTAATATGTGTGCAACCATTATTTCAATTTCTGCTCGTTTACAAAATAATAGATTGTTAATGACTGGTGAGATGGATGAAGATTCTATGATGAGCACCATTGATAATCCACAATTGCAAAGTTCTTCTCAATCTGACATGTCCAATGCTTCCACTCCAACCACTGCTGGCTCTTCCACATTGTCACCAATTTCTTCCAAGCCAATGAGTGATTCCTCTATCAAGTTCTACTTCTCCATGTTAGGTTTTATTGCTGCTCTCATTCCAAGTGACTATGAAAAATTGAATTCTCTCATTGGTGTGAATCGTCTCTTCGCCAACGAAAAGATTTTCACATCTGCAAGCTATACTGCACTTCTCTTTGCAAGATATTTGGTCACTGTAGTACAAAATGTTGACATGGATACTGAGAGAATTGCAATTTATTCACTCTTGCAAGATGCCTTCCAAAAATTACCTTCAGTGTTCATTCCAGTTTATCCAGATATCATGCCACACATGATCAATGTATATAATAAGGCCAACATTACACGTATTGCAGAAGTATCACTCACGTTGATTGACACCATGATGCAACAAACAGATCAAAAGAGCTTCAAACCAAATCCATCGTCAAATTATGATGAAATTTTAGCAAAGGCAGGATTTGGAGGTTTGTTCCGATTGGGATCTTTCAAGATTGCGACCGATAAGACACGACATGACATGAGCGTTTTGCTAGTTGGATTTTTAAATGATATTTGCAAAAAGTAAGAAAGAAATGTAGAATAAAAAAATAATGATTTTCTGAACTCTTTATTTTCTTTCTCTTAAGTGAGTTTCAGATGGTTCAAGTGGTGAGTCAGCTAACGTTAAGGTCAAATTAAGGAATTAATAGTATTTTATTCCAAAAGGAGAAGGGGTTTGAGTGAGATGGGAAGTATCGGCTTGACTTTGTTGAGGATTAATGTTATGACATTTTTGTTGATGATCTTTCCATGCCAGTTGTTGATGTTCAGTGGAACAAAAATAGGTAGGAGCAAGTTGGACACCTTTTCTTCTCAGTGATGCACAAATAGTACATTCAAGTAATGATTCTTGTCCACAAACTACACATGGTTGATTCACAGGAATTCTTCTTGTGGAAGGTTGACTCGTAGTGGTGCTACTCATCGTGTTGGAATATGTAGAAGAAGGAACATTCTTTGATGCCGATGATAAGGTCGATCTTGAATTACTAATCATGCCACTGCTCTCACCAAAAGGAGAAAAAGCACTCTTTGTTGAATTTGAAAAACTACCGATGGAGCTACCGCTGAGAGTATTGCTTCCACTACCAGTGCTGCTGCTACTTGGAAGAAAACTTGTCAATCCTAAACCTCCACTTGTAGCAAATGCACCTGCTGGATTCGTTGAAGAATATGCAGAGCTCGATGAAAAGTCCTTAGCAGAGGAGCCCCATGAGGAATTTGATAATGCCGAATTGGTCCACATGCTGTCTCCAGTTGTATTAAAACATGAAAGACTCGTAAAGTTGAGTGATGACGATGAAGAGGACGACGAATTTGATGGCAGGGTATTGTTCAAAAGGCTTGCTGGGAAATTTGAAGGTTTTTGTTGAGGGGATGTTGGTCTCTCCTCTGACAACAAGGAATCTGTAATAGATGTTGCAACCTCCTGATTATGACTCGAGCCGTAGGAACCTCCTGAAAATGAGATCAGTTGCTGTGTATGTCCGTTCGCGCCACTGTTGCTGGGCATGATATTTCCAAAAGAGCCACCTGTAGTGCTTGCTCCCCCAGTAAGAAGGGCATCCCACCCAAAACCTCTTGACGAAGGCATAGTATTCTGATTTAACATGTTAGTATTCTCAAAGAGATGAAGTTGTGAAAATTGCTGAGATGTGACACTACTGCTGTCTCCAGACTGGCTTGAAATGGGTGATGAAGGAAAACCAAAGTTACTTCTCGAATCCTTGACTTTAGGAGAATTCATGACAAGAGGAGATGCTCCTCTACTACTACTACTTGAAAATGCACTTCCCACAAGAAGATCCACTGGCATGTTTGAGCCAAAAGTATTCGATGAGGCATTGCTTGAAATGGTAGCACTACTACTAGAAGTTGTTGGATGTGACGACGATTTCTTGCCTCCTTTTGAGTGTAGCTGATCGAGTGAAGGATATTCCTGATCATAGGTCGGATTATTCATGGGAGGAGCTTGGTTTAATGATGACGATGACGATGGAGGAACACCTAAACCCATTGGTGGGAAAGAGTTACTATTAGTTGGTGGCATTAATCCCAGACCGACCATCATGCTACCAGGATATTGAATTGCAGGAACAAATGGGCCTCCAAAAGGGCCAACAAGAATTCCTCCACTTGGTTGTGATCCATTGGGGAATGGCAAATTAGGGAAAAATTGTGAGGGAAGCTGCTGTGGTTGTTGATTAATCATTGTGTTGTTGCTACTACCACTGCCGAGCAATCCAGTAAGGTTCGAAGAAGCAGTAACAGGAGTTGAACTTGTTTGCCATGCTTTTGCAGTCGATGATTGATTTGGAATTGGTGATGGATTAGTTGGAGTGGATAAAAGGTTAGAGGATGGTGTGATTGAGGTTGCAGTTGTTGGTGTTACAATGACTGGAGACGTGTTAGAAGAAGATGAAGCAGCCACAACCACTTTTTGAGTGGTGCTACTGCTACTGCTGCTACCAGAAGAGACTGTACTCGATGTAGACGTAGCTGGAGATGTCTTTTGGAACTGTCAGGTTCATATTGGTCTGTCCTTTCTTTGTTGCTAATGTTGTCTTGGTGGATGCAGTACTTGTTGCTTTGCTCTTTGATGAGGCCATCACGACTGGTTTCTTTTGAGATGAAGCATCTATCCACTCAGGTTCACTTGGTTTTGGATTGTTGCACATTTTACATCGGGTCAGAGATGCCTTATTCACATAAGTACACTCAAGACAGCTCCAACCATTTTGTGGATTGGTGCTAGAACTTCCTGAACTTGAGATGGATCCACTCGAGCTTGTAGAACTTGTAGAGTTGTTGCGTTTTCTATTCACATTACTAGTAGTAGAAGTGTTGGTTGGAATGTGAAGATGAGTTGGTGGAGTTGTAGAAATGCTGCTGCTCTTCAAAGCTTGTTGCTGTAATTTGCGTTGCTTAATTTTCTCTTGTTCTTCACGATGTTCCTTAATATAGGCATTCCAGAGGGACGATGATCCAGCAATTTCAGACATTTGATCTCCAAGCTTTTCAATGGTTGGAATGATTTCGTTACACTTCTCAATTAATAATTCTTTCAAGGAAGAGCTGATTGCAATGATCAGTTCATCATCTCCACCACCAGAAGTTTGTGCTTCGCTGTTATCCTCTCCTGAAACAGTTAAATGCTTAGAATTGAGAGACACACCTCTCTCGTCTTCTGGATCCAGCACGGAAATACCAGAACTACTCTCAGAATTACATGGTAAGTCTTGAATATATTCCAAAGCAGAAATTAGGTCCTTGTGTAATTTGATTGCTGCATTATTGCACGTCGTAAGTTTGGATAACATCTTTTCATCCATTATGGTTTGAATTGATTTTTGTGATTTTGGTGATTTCCAATCTCTCAACTCACTAATACTTTTTCGCAATCTATCCACACGATCCTTAATATGCCGTATGTTGGCAAAAGCTTCAATCAATTCATATACTTGTTCTGTAGTAATATCACTGATATCTCTCATGTTAGATATCGAGTCGAGTATTGGAAAATCGGAATGGGGAGAAGATGTTTCCCAGTCTTGTAAAATTTCTTCCGCTCTTTCATCAACGCTCACTTCTACAAGTTTTCCATTCTTTTTTGCTTGACATGTTCTGTGTTTCATATTTCTATCACCAATAACTGCAACGTAGTCTGCAACCGAGTTGGTTATGAGTTCTTGCAAGTGATCGGGTTTGATAAATTCATAGTCCTCAGATGAAGTCGGTGTCTCTTTCGTGTAACAAGCCAATTGTGTATACACATTAATTCCCTTAGCTAAAAAAGTTTCTTGCACTTGTTGAGCATAATTTCTTACTCGTAAATCTGCACCAAATAAAACGATAATATGATGTAAAGGCTTCTTGCTTAATAAAACTTGGGTGATTGGATCTAACCCACTTTTTAGGTGGCTAATATTTTCACAATGATATTTCACATTCATCAAGTTAGTGGAAGAAGGATTGTAGTGCGTAGAATGGTATCGGTTGCTTGTATTATTCCTAGAGTAAGATGATGAGCCACTGCCACCACCGCTATGCGATGGAGGCCGTGAAAAGTTACTAGATCTAGGTGAAGTTACATGACTTCCCGATGAAAGATTGTGTTGAGGATTAGTGGGAGATGATCCATAATACTGTGAGGAGGATGAAGAGGAGGCATTGCTGGTACTACTCGTAGCGACATGTTGTGATTGAAATTGTGAAGGTCTCTGATTACTACTGCCTGAAGGAATACCCGAATACTTTTTTCGTTCCTCAAAAGTGTTATCTTCCTCATTATCATCATCTTGATTAAAATCTTCTTCTTCTTCCTCATAATCTTCTTCTTCCTCATTTTGACTACGATAGGAGGGAGTTTGTGATGAATAGTTTGTTGCTCCTGTGCTTCTAGTAGAGTGATAGCCTCCTCCCACTGAAGAGGATGAAACATTTGAGCGGTTACTTCCGCTTGAATTTGCACGATCTACCCGATTTTGATTTTTCAGTATGGTTGGAGGTGCTTTTGAGTAATCATGATGATGATGTTGTGAGGAAAACCTTTGCGTACTTGTTGCAGTAGAGGATGATGATGAATAATTGTTGGTTCCGCCACCTCCTCGCTTGTTGTTATTGGTGCGGAAGTGAGTCATCGTGTGCTGATTCAAAATAAAATTGTTGACTTTGTTGTTGGAATACGTGAACGAAAGTAACAAATATACTAAAATAAGAGGGAGGAATTTCCGTTATTGACTAGTATTTCAATGCAAATTCACAGAGATGCACGATTGGTGATGAACACTTTGAAAAAATCTCCTAAAATACAATAAATTCAAAATGAGCCAATTCAAATAATGAATAATTGTTGCTTCAGTGATGAAAATCAGGATGCAGCAGCTGCTTGATTACAAGTTGTTTGAATATATGCGGGGTGAGCGGTTATGTTCAAAACTATTAACAAAAATGGATGCTGATCAACTCCGTTGATTTTTGTGGTGCCTTCACCAAAACTATTCTAGTTTGCTTGAAGATGCACTTGTTTTTGCTGCTACCGCTTGATGAATGACTGACTTGAAATATCTCAAATTATTGAAAACGTTTTCAAGCCTTGATGGAATTTTCAACAAAAATTTGTTCACTGTTGTTAATGATGAATGTAATACACTAGTGCGCGTGTGTCTGATTTAGACTCGTTGTTGTTGTGATTGTTAATATGCTTGTGATGAACAACAAACGCCAATCGGACCGAAAAAAAGCCTCACAACGAATATTTTTTTTGGTTGATGGGAAATAAATGTTCTTGCCCAAAACCTTCAATCTCGCGTTGCTTTGGCCTTTGTTATGCTTCGAACAAGAAGATCACTGAGTATCACCATTAGGTTGCATTCATGAGATCTTGTGGGCATCCATTTCCCACCCCTCATGGAGAATTAATTGAATATATATGGGAGGGATCTCTATGAAGAAAGTTTTGGGAATGGCAACTTGGACCGACTCACTTAAACCATCATTCCTCAATTATAAAAGTTCAAAAAGGAATTGCGGAGGATCATCAATTCCTTGCTGATGAAGTTCAACAAGCATTTGGAAGAATTAGTGGTCAACAATGTTATTAGAACCACCTATTAATGAAATAAAAACCATCGAGTTCCTCATCACATTCATGAAATCCACCTCGTTATTCAGTAATTTCCATCGAATGGAAATCATCCAAAAAAGTACAAATTGGCCACAAAGTTAATGACATATGAAAACAAAGTGAATGGATAATAACACACATGTCCTGCAATGTATTCAACACATGATGTGCTCACTCATTAATTTATACAAACAGGACTGTCACTTTTCATACAAACAAGGATGCATTTTGTTGAATAGGACTGTCATGTCTCTCTCCATTCATTTTGGTTTTAAAAACAAATTCACTAACGCATTCTGTTGTTTACAATTAACCTTTTGTGAGTCCTTTTTCAACTAGAAAACCAACTAATTTTTTCTCCACTAACACCACACAGTAGCAATCTACAAACTTCACTCTGCAACTATTATTTTCGTCAATTGTTACAACAACATGAAAAGTCAACAACTTTCGAAAAGTCCTCGTGAGCGATCAGCAAGTAGTGTTTCCAATGCCTCAACCATGTCAGCCTCTTCCTCTTCGTCAAATTGTGTCGATGAATTTATATTGGCACTATGCGGGGATGGTTCGGTTGGAAAAAGTTCCATCACAACACGATTCATTCAGGGTACTTTTGATAAACAACAAATCTATGATCCCACTATTGAGGATGCGTACTATGTGAAGAGAAATGTGGACGGTTTGACCACACAGATGGAAATTATAGATACTGCAGGTCAAGAAGAGTAAGTAGTAATTGTAGCACTGGTTCAGCGAAATCTGAACAACAACAATTCACCCATTGTAAAACATGTTGTAAATGTTGATGTTTGCTGTTGTATCGACTTTGTGAAATATGCAACGTCAACAATCACCTGATGGGTTTGATGATGGTATGTCCATAATACAAATTGCTGCTCACACCTCTCTAATGGTTGACCCTATTTTCACTGCAACAGATATAAAGCGTTGAGATCTCAATACATGAGAAGATCGTATGGTTTCATCTTTGTCTTTGATGTCACCAATGGTGACTCCCTCAAGTCTCTGAAAGAGTTTTTCGAACAAATTCAACGTATCAAAATGAGTGAAGAAGATGTCAGTGATTGTAGCTCTCTATCAAGTACTCCTCGATGCAGTGATGCCACCTTGGGCTCATACATGTCCACCAGTTCAAGCATACTCTCCTCCTCCATGATGTCATTGGTTTCACATGATCGAAGTTTTTCGTCTAGTTCCATTCACAGTAATTACTCTGGATCAAGACATGCTCAACAACAAACCTCTCCTCGTAATGCTGGATCAGGAGGCCACACCTCCTCTCCATTCCTTCATCCCTCTCTCAACTTTCCATTCATCTTTGTCGGAAATAAGATTGACTTATTGTTGCATAATGCTCATTTGGCAGATTTGCCCAATCCTCAACGAAACTCGACTCTACCGCAGCAACATCCTCAAACCGAGAAGGAGAAACATCAAGAGAAACGAGACAAGAAACTTCTCCGAAAATTAGACAAGGAAGTAAGGTCATACATTGTGAGGGAAATTCTAGGTCTCGATGAAACTCAACATCCTGATTTCATCAAGAACTATCAATTGCCTCTGTATTGGACTTCTGCGAAGGAGAATATCAATATTGATGATTGTTTTGATGGTCTCCTGAGGGAGATGAGAAAATTCAGAGCTCTGCGTGAAGTGAAAACCTCACCACGGTCCTCGGAACGAAAAGGCTTGTCCAAACTCTTTGGAAGAAATCGAGAGAATTCTTCATCTACCATCATTCATCATGCAAGTACTTCAACGGTACCACAAATTCAAGAACCTTCTTCCAATGGACAGCAACCACAAGCAACAAATTCCGGGCCTCCCCGAAGAAGATGGGGAAGTTTCTCCTCCAACTCGAGTCATGTGAGTCAGCAACAAAAGAATCAAGAGGCTCGGAAGAAGAATGGAGAGAGAAGCGCTTCGTATCCTTCTCGGAGAGGTTCCTTCTTGTTTGCTTCTTTCAATTGTGATAATGATATGGAAGATTTGTTTCCATGATTTTCATCACGAAACGGTTGTTGAGCCACACCACCAATTATTAAAACCATTTGTAAAATTGTTTTACAATCCAATTCAATGTAAGGATTGGAGTTGTTTTCCATTCGTTCGTGTAACCAATCTTGCAAAGTAGGAAGATTTCTTCTCCGGAGATGAAAGCTTTTTTCTCCCAAAGCGCTTCGAATGAGTCGGCCAGCTGATCTCTTGTTCTTTCATTTTTGGATTCCATAAGCTTAATTTACTATTGAAATATACACTAATAAAAAAATAACTAAACGACTGAAATGTTCTCTCAATAGATCTTTCGAGAAATTAAGATGTCATAGGGTTGTAAAAATCAAGGGCTGGACGCACAGCTTTCGAATCTGAGTGAAAGAAAGGTTTTTTCAAATCTTCTGTGACTCCAGAGTGAATCGCCAAACAATCTCATTGTCGCTAGAAAGAATTGTCATTGGCCTAATATTTCAGTCTTGCTATGGAGGTCCTTTTGTTGAAGAACCATAATCAAACCTTCTTCATTCGAACGAAACAACAACTCAGGACATGCATAATTTCTATACTTGCCCAATAGGCAATGTGTTGCCCAATGAGAAAACTGTTGCTTATTTTTGTAATTTTGCGACCTTTTATTGAGCTTTGCCTTTGTATTGGGCAAAAATCGAACGCTTTTGGTAATTAAAACAACAAGTGTCACTTGTCAATAAGAATGATAATTAAGAATGTTTCTAATTGCCGGTCAGCACGATCTCTTATTTTCGGCTTCAAAGAGCAATTTTTTTGAATCTTCGCAATCGACGCATTTACACGCAACTAATCCACACTCATTCAGACAAGTTAGGGCTTTAAGACCTTGTCTTTAAATGTTCTCCGCTCGGATTGCTGTTCAAAAAATTGAAATTTTCGTTGTGACGATTGGGACCAAATTAATTCAAATGTAATCTTACTCGATCGGTTCTCTTGGTGGTTGTTGCTGTGAGTCTTCGTGTTTGTGTGAAAAAAAGTTACAACTTCAACCAAAATCTTTTCCTCCAACTCTCACTTCGAATTCGAGAGACCGAATCCACACAGACACACACATTGTTCTATCCACTTTATGTGTGTGGTGTTGAAAGTGGACGCTCTTTTGTTTCCACACGTATTGCTTTGGGTGGTCCACATGACGATTATCCCTTTGAAACAGCAACACACAACCCATCTCAGCTTCCACAATTTGATTGCTTCCACAGTTCATCTCAGTGAAATATTGAACTTCTCGAGTTGAACGGAGCGAAAAGGCAATCCAGAATCACTCGAAAGAATTGTCGGTTTTTTGCTTTGGGTTTCTATCTTTTTCATCATCAAGAGTTTCATTGAATCAATTTCCCGATAAAGATCATTACGAAACTCAAAGATGAATCCTCCGGCAGAACCTCCACAAGACTCTCAACAAAGAAAGAAAAACCCACTCCATTCAACCATGATGAGCGCTGGTATGAATTCTCTTCAATCATTATCTTCTTCTTCTTTGATTGGAAATGTCAATCATTCTCAATTCACAAAAAGCTCAGCATCTCTTGAAGGTGGATCTTCTTCATCATTCGATCCAACAACAACAAGAACAAACATCACCACCTCTACCACTCTGACACCCCAAACTCAGAGACAAAAAAGACCAAATCGAGGTGTAAGGTCTACAACTCCAGTTGCTTTGATTTCAAAATCTTGCCATCATTCTGCATCCACTCCACAGCCGTATGCATCCTCTTCGAACTTGAATGCTTTTTTGGGTTCGTTCACATCACAGGTGAATTCTTCTTCGATGGGATTATCCATGCAAGAATTCACTCGAGCCCATCATGACCCTCAACAAGGAGTAATGATGACGGTTTCATCACCACCTCACCACCACCACCTCCATTACGATCCACAACAAGATGATTCTCATGATCATCACTTGTCCTCATCATCAGCGCCACAGATTTATTCCCCCTTCACGATGATGTATACAACGCAACAACAACCCCAACAACAACCACCACAACAAACACCTCCTGAATCAACGAATCAACCTCAGAAACCATTCATGGCTTGCTACTTTCCGAGGCAACCACAAAATTTGGAGAGGAGTCAATCTCAAGCCTTAACATCCCCACAAACAAGTGTTGTTGTGTCTTTTGGAGAGCATCCAAAGGAGACTTGTCAAAATGTCCTTTTTGTTGGGAATGACAACCAACAACGAACAATTCAAGAAAAAGTGAAAACAAAACCTGTCATGCAACTGCCATCCATTGATGAATGGTATCAAAAGGAAGGAGGAGATGTTGAGAAGTCTTCTCTTCTTTACAACAAGTTGTTGTTGTCAACAAACAACAAGAAACGAAAAATCGAAAAGCAGCAACAACGAGAGAATCATAAAGAAGAATTAAGCATCCACCCACATGTGTCAACTGCCATACCATCATCCAACCATTCGAAAGTTGGGCCAATTTCCACAAATTTGGTAGATGCAACGTCAGGATTAGAAATTAGTGGAATCGTTGTCAATCATTTCGACTCTTATAATGACAAGTTGAATGTTGATGAATCATCCTTGGGGAGGAGTGGTGGACATGGGATGGACTCACATCGTTTCTTATCAAAAAACTTTCCTTCGACTTTACATGCAACCTCACGACCAAATGTTCGTGGACACAAAACGATGACGTTGTTCACTGATCATCAGTCAAGTTCTCAATCATTGTCTACTACTACTAGGCCAATCCAACAACCACCCTTTTCGTCTTTATCCACAACAGCAATAACTCAACAACAACCGACATGTCCTTCCAATGTCGTTGGAATGGAAAAGATGATTAATCTGGACACCACGAATGACATGTCCAATCATCATGCAACAACATTAGTAACAACACCAACAACCAATCAACAACCATTGTTGAAACATGCAACAACTACGACAACGACGACAACATTGGTGACCATCAGTGGCCACAACCATCCTCAACCACCACATGTAACGACCAACTACTTGAAAGATGATCATCCTCCACTTCTTCCTCAACAACAACATGTAAACTCCAACGAACAAGACTTGTCATCCACAAGATCTTTTATTCATCTTTCTCAGCCGTCACATGTGGAATCCTCTTCTGATTCTCCACATCCTTTTCAACCTGTCATGCACGTTCAACAATATGGTTTTCCAAATGATCCACAACAACAACAAACATCGACAAGTTTGATGGTTCCTTCGAGTTTGACATTTCCACAACAAACAACTACGAGTAGTACTACTGGCAATTTAGGGCACACTGTCACCATGTCCAACATTGAATGGATTTCTTCATCCACCACAACCATGACTCCACAATCTTCGCCAAGAATGAAAAAACAAAAAAGAAAACCCAAATCCTCTTCTTCAACACCTGTCGCTTTTCAAAATGAAACTTGTTCCTCTCCTCAATTATCACCTTCTTCATTCAATAACAACAACACTCGATTTCCAGTCAAATACAATAACACTTCCATTCCTCCTTATCCTTTAAATTCGACTCCACCATTGCAACAATTACAATTCATGGATTCAAATTCTTCATCACCGAAAGCATCAAATAATAATCAACGACGAAGAAAATCATCGCCTTCAGTCATTACCAACCCTACCAATGGTTTTCTCATGCAAAATGAATATGAACAATTTAATAAGGGAGAACATGATATTCAACGAAAAGCGAAAGGAGAGAAAATTATAAAATACACACATTATAAATTTTAACACATGTTTCCAAGTCCTTTTAGATGTCAAAAAGAAGTGAAACATCTTCTCATGCTTAACACATGTTTCCAAGTCCTTTTAGATTTCAAGTGGGCGAACAACAGGAACATACGTAATGAGAAATAGTTTCACCTTAGGAACTCGATTAAGGCATGTGAGTGCATGTTTGGTAAACCATCAATTTTGGAGATGACGTATGTCAGTTGTCGACGTTTTTGAAAAATAAACCGTTAACAAGTAGATAAAAAAACATTTCGTGTTGTTCCTGCTATCCACATACTTCGAGTCGTGATTCACTGACATCTGTTGCGTCTCCTCAAGGAAACACCCAAAGATTCTGTCTTTCAGGCGCCATCAACGTACGTTCATCATTAACCTCTCTTCCAAGTATCATCAACTGCCACCAGATATTCCAATTCTCGTCGTCGTAGTCATCGTCATCCTCCACTCAAACAACGATGATTAGCGAACTCGTCAATAAACAATTCATCGTCATTGATGAATTAGAAATTCAAACCAAAAAATCCTTCAACAATAATAACAACAACAACAATTCATCATCTTCTCCCACCATCCTCTCTGGACAAGGTTCACCTAAACCTCTCTCACCCATCATCCAAAACGGTCGTCCCAGACGTTCCTCCTCACTCACCAAAGATCAACTCGAAATTCGTAAAGTCTACGACAAGATCTCACAGAGTCCAGTTTATAATGTTCCCGATAAAGTCATTGAGAAGAATCAGAAGAGTTTTCTTCTTTCCAATGAAGAGTCCTTGTTGGTGTATTACTTTCGGGATTGGTTGGAAGTGATGGAAGAACAGTTAGAGGATGATTTTCGGAGAAGTTCAGAAGCTTGTCAAACGAATGAGAAGGCTTCTTCTTCTTCAACCACCACCACCACTGGTCGACGACAAGTGTGCATCAAAAAGAAGGATCAATTACAAATGAAAGTGATTTTGTATGATGTGGATGATTATCCCTTGTATTTCCCATTGCGTTTGATGAGTGAGGGAAATTTCAATGATCCTGATTTTATCAAGTTTGGAGTTTCCTTCTCGGCACCTCACACAAGTGGTGTTCAAGAAAAGACATTTGTGTTCATGGAAGATGGATTGGTTCATTTGGTGGAAAAACATGAATCAACTTTGGTTCCTCAACATGTTCTAGAAGGTTACGAGAGTGAATCGTTGTGTGTGAAAAGCGTCACTGAAAATTGTAAAATATTGAAACGATTGCAACAAATTTGTAGAGTCATTAAGGATTTTAATATCGATAAAATGTATGGAGATAATGATAAGGGAGGATCTTTTTACTTTTGTAGAGAAATTGCGAAATTGTTTTCTGAAGAATCCTCACTCGTTTCGTGTCTCTCTGAGAATGTGAAGCACTTGTTCAAAGTGTGGAAAGAACGTCACGATAAGAGGGTGAAGGAAGAGGAAGATGAATTAGATTTTCACAATGATACCTTTTATTCACAAAATGAGCATGTACCCATGGATGACATTTCGAAAATTATCAAACAAGCTTCTCAATCCACACAAGAGGCAATTCGCGAGCATTTAATTCATCCTTCTGCGTATGAAGTGATTTTCGAGAAAGTTTGTCTCGACTTGCAATATTATCCAACACTTGTGGAGTTTTATACTCCTCAAAAGAAGCAACATTACAAATTTAACACGTACACAGAGTTTGATCAATTTTTGTGTGATCAGTACAATGATCGAAACAAAATTCGTGAACTGAGACAAAAGTATCCTATGGACTACTTATATTTGAAGATTATGCACCGAAAATTGTGGTGCTGTAAAGTGGCCAACTCGTTGTACGATCCACTCATTTCTAGAGACCACTTGTTTGATATTAAGGGAAGACAAACGTTCTTCAAGGATCCTGAAACATTGATTCATCACTTTGGAGATGCCTCCTCAATCACTATTGACTATGAAGCATTGAAAAAGTCAAAAGATGGCAAAACAGTCAAAGTCTTGTCGCTCGACGGTGGTGGCATGAGAGGTCTTGTTCTCATTGAACAATTGAAAGCCATTGAAGAATGTACTGGAAAGAGAATTGGTGAATTGTTTGATATCGTTTGTGGCAGTTCTACCGGTGGTATTATTACCTTTTTTATTGAAGCTGGCTATACCATGGATGAAGTCAAGTCTCAATACCTGGCCATGGGTCGTGACATTTTTAACATGCATTCGCATTTTACGACACTAAAAAAGGCAATCAAATTTTTGAGAGGAAAGAGTTGGTATGAGTCAAAAATTCTTGAAAAATACTTTAAGAGAAATGCGGGAGCTATTGATTTGTATTCAGCAACCAAGACGAGACCATTTACTTTTGTTTGTGGAACCATCAAACCAGAAAAAGCATTAGAACCAGGTTCTAAAGTTTCTACAAATTTCACAGAACAATTTCCATACATTTTCAGAACGTACACCAATCCTTTCATTTCAACCAAGGAAGCTGCTAAAAAGTTGCTGGATCCTGCCAATGATTTCATTTCGAAAAATATTTACGATGATTTGTTTTACTCTGGAACAACCACTGGTCGTGGTGTGAAAATTGTAAGTTGTTTTGAAAGTTTAAGCATAGATATGATCATTTATTTCTTTTTGCGACACAATAACATCATGGAACTTGCAATGTTTTCATTACGTCTTCCTTCATCATTACTCAAATTCCATCGAATGTTTATTGAACACACTTGAACATTCACAGACAAATGCATTGAGAGCAACCACTGCAGCACCCATTTTCTTTGATGCTGCCTACATTGGAAATGATTATTTCACAGATGGTGGATTGACTGCAAACAATCCATCTGTGATTGCTCTTAGTGAGGCCATGAGAATGTATCTGGGTCACAATAAGTTTGTTTTCGTCTCATTAGGTACTGGAAAGAAGAGACGTTCTCCTTCACAAGATGGTGATTTTTTCAATCCCAATACGAATGAGGCCATGAAAAAGACCAGAGGATTTATTGAAAACTTAATAGTCACAGCAACTGATTTGAAACTATTAGTGGACTTGGTAACTTCATCAGAACGAATTCATGCACAAATGGTTACTATGGTGAAATTGTTGAATGAAAGAGATCTCAATGCTGACATTAGTTATTACCGATTTGATCCACCTGATGTTGGAAAATATGATTTGGATACAGTAACACCTTCAGTGATTGAGGAATATGAAACAAAAGCACGAGAATATATTCGAAGTAATGAAGAATTCCCAGTCATGTGTAAACGATTGTTGCAAGATTAAATATATATATATTGGGTGTTACAAGTAACTTACATCCATGATCATTCACAGTGTAGCTACATGTGTTGTGAATTGGAATATCCAATGACCATGTCATTTCATATTTTAGAAAGTGATGCCAAGTTGAAGATTACTCATTTGAACATTTCACGGGAAAGAAGCCGTCACCAAACTCCGACTACTTTTCACGGACAAAAAAATGTCATCACATACCCTCAGTTTCAGCATCATCGTGGATGGATACAATGTTGTCACCACCAAAGACAAACACGCCACGGTCATGTACGATCTCACATTCATTGTGAAAAATCCAATACCTCTTTCATCGTCTTGTTCCACAAATACTGCCATTTCCACTCACAATAATCAACAAATTCTCATATCCATGACCGTCGGCAAACGTTACTCCGAACTTCGAGAATTATTTAAAAATCTCACATCCATTCTCAATAGTCATGCGCATCAACATCATTCGACATTGAATTCATCCACAGCAGCAACAACCACGAGTTCCATGTCAACAACTTTAGCTCAAGAATTTAAATTTGATTTTCCTCCAAAATTATTATTTGGAAATACGAATCCAGAAATTATTGAAAAACGAAAAGTGGAATTACAACACTTTTTTGATCAAGTAACGATGCAATTAGTTTTGGAAAATCGAACTGAAGGAGTGTCTGGAGAAATGTATAAAACGGTTTTACAATTTTTTCAAGTTCAAAATACTCATTATATTTGAATGCCAATTTATTGAGGCATAATTGATGTAAATAAAATTATATATGATATATCACTACATTACCACGATTGTATGATATGATAATATATATTTATACGACTGGCTGATACGTTCGTGGTAATGCATTTAACAATTTATTTCAAGTAAACGCGCATTTGAAAAAAATGATTCAATCATCTTCTCCGACTTTCATCGAACACGTTCCGAAACGCCTTCCAAAAAATACAACCCAATCGGTGCCAATTGTTCCCATGAAATTTGTGGTCATTTCCGATACACATTTATTGCATGATTTATTGATCATTCCGAATGGTGATGTTTTGATTCATTGTGGAGATTTTACCAATTTGGGATTGTCTGCAGAAGTGGAAATGTTTTTTCAGTTTTTAGTGGATAAGTGTGATTCAAAGTTTGAACATGTTATTATGATTGTGGGTAGGTGATGGTGATCAAAACGAAATATTGAGATGATGATTTGGGATGGATTCTGATGATTCTGATTTTTATTATTTGAAAAATTATTTTTACTACGTTCAAAAATCATCATGGTTGAACACATGACACACATTTGACAAATATTTTGAATGTGCATTTCAACTCAAAGGTAACCATGAATGGGCTCCTGACGTGGTAGTTGGTACAAAATTCAACATTTTTTTCAGTCCAGAAAATCAGAAAAAACTTCATGCCAAGTACCATCTTCTTTTGGATGATACAATTACCATCAAGGATAAAAATCAGAATGCAATCAAAATTCATGGCACTCGTTATCGAGGAGCATGGGCATTTCCTGTGTTTTTCAAAGACAAACGGAAAAAGACAACCTTTGAAATTCCAAGCGATATTGACATTTTACTAACACATTTTCCATGCAATAAGAACAAGCTGGATATTATTTATGATGGAACTTCGAGAGGGTCTGAAGAATTGACCATGCTTCTTGAGTCCGATAATTATTTCACAAATTTGAAAATTCATTGCTTTGGCCACAATCATGATGGACGAGGTTTCTATTATGATACAACAAAAGATAGACTCTACATTAATGCAGTTTCAGTGATTGGAGATAAGCGGGACAAAATTGTTGAACAACCTTTTGTTTTTGAGTTTTGAGAGAAGATTTGAACATCAGTAGAATGTTGAAATAGCTTTGCATTGAGAATCTTGTCAGTTCGAACCAAAAATTCATGTGATTCTTTGTGAGTGTCTGAGCGTTCCAAAATCATGGTTTGAACAGTCGTCCATCGAATTCTTGAAAAGTGATGAAATTTCAAAGATGAGGTCAGTTATTCCTCGAATTTTAGAATTTACAATAAAACATCCCCTTGAAGAAAAAATGAGCAAACGAAACGCAGAGGAGGCCTTCTCATCCAAGGACACTCCAAAGCAACACGATGGCAAGATGAATCATCAACATCAACAAGTAGAACCTACAAATGGAGAATCGGAGAGCGTTGAAGAACAAGACTGTACTTTGGTTCCATATAGTAAAAGAGTAAAAGAAAATAATTGTACAATGGTTGCCTGCACGAATAACGATGTGATGAATGATGAGGACACGGCCACAGATAATTTGTTTTCGAAAATATCGCAGTCCATTGATCAGTACGAAGTGGTGTTGCGAAAAATTAGAGTATCACAATCGGGTGTCGGTAACATTTTGTATAGAGATTTGAAACAACTCGGACAAGATGCTGTATTAAAACTTAGAGAGGATTTGGAACGCTCTCATTGCAAATTGGTTCAATTGTTGAATGAACAAACACAATCTGCTAAAAAGAATGACACAGAAATGAACCAATCTGATGTGAATTATATTGACAAAAATTTGAATCAAGTTCTACCAACTGATCTGTTGAGCTACATCTTTTCATACTCACTGTTTTTTGATTTTGTTCGAATTTCTCACACATGCAAGCTCTGGAGAAATATTGCCATGACCAAAGCTGAAGCTCTCACAGCTTTTGACATTTCAGATGATATTTCGTTTATTAATGGATTGTTTTTATTCAAGAGATTTATCGAATGGAGAATAGAGAACATTCGTCATGTGAGCATTTATGCTGATGTGTTTTCCAAATGCGGCCACAAATTCAATGCCGTACGTAAAATGGATGCTTTCATTCAACACTCGAACATGGCGGGATATCCAAATCTTGAACGAGTCAAAAAACTGTATACACGTCAATTCACATTTTTTGGAAATATCACACTCCCAGGTATGTTTCAAATCAATGGCTTTTTTGTAAAAATTTAAATCATTTTTGTTTGTTTGGACCTTTTGAATGCATGTACTATGATAAATAATGTCGCTACCACATGGATAGGCCTCGAGTTTTTACAATTCAAAAGCTTTAAAGACGCCATAATTGACTTTTTCCATTTATCCATGTTTGGACTGGCTCTCGTTGATACACTGTTACCCATGCTCGATTTTACCAAGATTGATCGTATCCAACTCATTTCTAACACGAGATTGCTTGCTTCATTCATTCGTTTTTTACAAGATACGGATCCATCCAAAGCTGGAAGTAAAGCAAAAATCAAAACCTTCCTTACAAACATTAACGATCACGTCAAATATTTAATTTTAACCACCAAGGACGACGAAGAGTATGAGGAGGAAGACGAGGGCACTACGGAATCTTCTGAAGAATTTAACTTGGCCTCTCTTGAAAAATTAACCGTCAAGGTTGGATCTTCTAAACTTTTCAAAATGTTGAAATTCAATCCTGCAAAACTCAAATCGTGTACGATTGTGAATTGGGTCTCTAAACATGCCATGGATGCATCCGAAATGGAAACTAAATCTGAAGAAGAAAGACAAGAAATTTCAGAATTTCATTCCATCTTGGATCGATTCTACAATGTTTCATGCCTACGACTTGAATATGTACATTCCATCTTCTTTAAATCTTACTCGTTTGAAAAGTTCAATAATCTCAAGTCTCTCAAGGTTTTGGAGATTGAGGGAGAAGTGCTTGAGCGATTGGGTCCTAAATTAGTGTCTCTAAAAGTCCAACGTATTTCAAACTTTAAACCACAATGTAAGTATTTTCGAAGTGTGTTGCGAATTTCAAATTTTTGGATATGCAATGATCACAGTAATCGAAAGTTGTACCAAATTGAAACATTTAGTACTTGGTTCGCGATTTTTAGCGGATGTGAGTAAGTTGACTTGTGTGTTTTTTTGTTATAATTTTGGTTTTCAAAATAACCTCGTTTTACCTTGTATTATAGACATCCAAAAGCTTGAAAAGTTGAAAAAATTACACATTCTTTCATCTCAGAAACACAAACTCTCAAAATTGAAAATTGAATCTCCTACTGTCGAAATCATTCTTTGCTATGCTGATATTCGATCTCTTGAGATCACTTGTCCAAATTTATGTTTTATTCATTGTGCCAATGTTTCACCTATTGATGATTTATTGATCAGAACAAATAAGCTTCAATATTTTACTGTTGAGGAAACAACAATCAACTCATTGACCATACTCTCGTATCCCATCCCCAACCAAACTGCTGAAAATGTTTCTCCATTAATTAAGGCTTCATGTTTAAGCTATGTGCAAGTAGTCAAACAGATGGAATGTCCCTATTTAAGAAGTATCAGCATCTCAAACATGGAAGTCCTCAAAAATATGATTGCACTTCAACAAACTCCTCTACTTGTTAACATGGACATTTCTGAAACCATTGTTGATACATCACTATTGATACAAGCTCTGAAAACATTTCCCATTCAAAAAATTGCCATTTCCAATTGTTCAACTACTGACCGTTCTGACGAAAATGTGGTCGATTTGAATGGAGTAGAATTGAAAGAAATTTATGTCAAGGAATGCGACTTTGGAGTATCCAAATTTGTGGTTCAAGTATTTTCAAAATTTGAAAAGATTGACACCCTTTGTATGCAAGATTGTTATTTGGATCCTTCTTTTATTAGATCCGTTTGCCAACCTGAAGAAAATGAGTGGAAAAATTTGCAAAGTCTTGAAGTTGACATTTGTGCTAATTTGAGTGGAGATGAAATCAGCATGTTGTATCGAAATATTGAACATTATGAGAATTTGAAAAATTTATCCTTACTAATTTATCCAGACCGAGAGACTGAGAGTTTCCATCATGCAAGATTTCCGCAAACCTTGGAAATGTTCAACGGCACTTTCAACACTCTAGAAATTGTTCGATCGAAATCAGGCAAGCATTTACCCAACGTTATCTGTAATTTGAAAACGCTCATCATTCAACCATGTCCTAGTTCCAAATTTTTTGACATTAATAGTTTGTTCCAATCATTGAACGACTTGTTTGTTGTGAGTGATGATGACAATGATGGCAAAAACTCGAAAAATTCGGAACACCCTCTCTATACATCACAACTGGAGAATATTTTCACAGACGATGTTCAAGATTTAGATACGGAACCACCTCGCATGAGTTTATTGACTCATGTCATGAAAAACCTTCCTTCTTTGAGATATGTTTCCAAATCATTTTTTGTGGATGAACCTGTGGATCTAGCAGCAGCTCGACCTGATATTCGATTCCAAGAAGATTAAGTTCTGAAACTCCCAAGCTAAAATATATGGTTCATTGAACAATAAACATTGTAACCAATAGCATTATGACAAACTTTGACGATACAATACATCTACTTGGCATAACGAGTTGGAACAAATGGCATTTTGGTGATCTTTGCCACCTGCAAATTATTTCTGATTTGAATTCCAAATTCAGTTCCTTCCTTTGCATATTCGCTCTTAATATATCCCATTCCAATAGGATGATTCAAAATTGGACTCAAAGTTCCACTTGTAACATAACCGATTTCTTCACCAGTTTTAAAGTCCTTGAATTTATATCCTTCACGAGCAATTACTGCTGTCTTGCCAGTTCCAACAAGCTCTTGGCCATACGAGAAACCCACTCTCAATTTTTCTACACCTGATTCGAGTTGTTTCTTAATGACATGAGCACCTGGAAAGCCACCCTCCTCACGACGACGTTTAGCAATTGTGAAATTTAAGGCGGCCTCAATTGGGGTGATTTGGGGTGTCATATCGTGACCCATAAGACATAAACCAGCCTCAAGACGCAAAGTATCTCTACAGCCGAGACCAGCCAATCGAACAAGAGGTTCACTTCCACCTACTTGCAACAAGGCTCTTGACAAATCGACAACGGCTTCATCGGGAACAGAAATTTCAAAACCGTCCTCACCCGTGTAACCACATCTTGAAACTTGAACAGAGAATGATGACTTTCTACCAGGTAGAACCACAACTTCGTCAGAGCTTGTCATGAATTTGAGGTTTTTAACTCTATCTCTTGCTTCATCATTGGCCAGCAATGGCAATAATGCTTCGACGGCTTTTGGACCCTGGAGAGCAATCAAGCTCTTTCCTGAAATCAAGTTGATTTGCAAGTCTGATCCTGAAAAACTCTTTCCAGTTCTATCACATTTTAGATTTTTCAATTGATTTTGTAAATGTGCCATATCACTATCCACACAAGCAGCATTAATCACAACATAAAAATCAAAATTTCCGTCACTCTCTCCCTTCTTGGTGATCATCAAATCGTCCAAAATTCCACCATTTTCATTTGTGAATTGAGTGAGACGTGCCTGACCTACTTTGAGTTGAATAATGTTGGCAGGTGTGACCTTTTCAAGAAATTCTTGAGCATCGGCACCAGTCACCTTGACCTGACCCATATGAGAGACATCAAACAAGGCAGCAGAATTTCTACATTGTAAATGTTCTCTCTTGAGAGCATCCTTATATTTACTCAATTGATACATGACAGGCATTTTGTAGCCAGCAAATGGAACAAAGGTTGCCTCGTGTTCGGCATGGAAATCATAGAGAGAGGTCTTTTTCAAGGCTTCCGATGATGAAGAGGATGAATCCATTCTACCATTTTCATGATGGAAGGAACGTTGTTGCGCTGCTTGAACGAGAATTGCTGTCTTGGAAGATGCTCCTTTTGAAGATGCAGAAAGAGTGGTAATACGACGGATCATGTTGTGATGATGAATTAAACCAAATTAAGATTGATGGAATAAAATTAATCTCTTGAAGAAAAATGAGGTTTGATGATGAAATCAAGAGTCAATTTTTTTTAATAATTTTTTTTTGGAATTTATAATTGATTCTTAATGCTGAATGTGTCTTTTTTGCCAAGATTTTGAAGATTTTCCATGATGATGATTGAAAAACAAGTATGTGACGTTATTGAAAAAAATATTCTTTTATAAAAGTGTAAAACAACAAGTTCTGAGCAAAAAAGAAGAACATTGTGTTCAAGTACGAGACAACAAGGAGAATGGTTAAATATGGTAGAACGACTTTTATAGGATCCAGATATTCCTCCCAAAATGAAACAACCCCTCCATTTGTTGAACGTTTTGCTTATATTCCTTTCAGTACATAAGCCCGATGATTCACCTTCTTCAGATGTTCATGAAGTCCTTTAATTTGTCCACCTTTTTCTTCAAACAGTCAAATACACCCTCCTTATACTCTTGTGTAGTAGCAGTGATGTTAGGTAAATGTTTGACATTCATTGAAAAGGCTTTTGCAATCTTGTCTGCGTTGGCCTTACTTGTAAAATATTTGCTCAAAATATTTTCTTTTGATTCGTTTTTAAGAATGTCTTGCACGAGGTCTGTGTATTGGAGGAAGTCTCTATCATCTTCTAAGAAACCATTCATTAACCTGATCACAATGGCTTGTAAACTCATTGTTTTGTCTTCCAAATATTCAATATCAACTTCATGTAACTCTTCGGCTTCTTCCATTTTGTCTTGCAAGTCTGAAACAGTGTTCTCGAGGTTCTTATTTTTATGTTGTAAGGTTCTAATATCATTCTCGAGGTTCTTGTTTTTATGTTGTAAGGTTCTAATATCATTCTCGAGGTTCTTGTTTTTATGTTGTAGGGTTCTAATATCATTCTCGAGGTTCTCGTTTTTATGTTGTAGGGTTCTAACATCATCCTTTAAGATTGCAACGTTGTTTTGAAATGTTTTCATCTCATTCAACATTTCACTAATATCATGGGTACATTCCACGACGGCTGAATATTTTACTTTTTTTGAAGTTACTTTCTCCACCATATCCTTTGTTCCTACCATTCGTTTGAGCGCGCCTCTGGTAGCTACATCTTTGGCCACATTTATATCAACCACTCCGAATAGGTGTGGTGTTTGTGCTTCATAGGGAATATCTTCTGTTCCTATTTTATAGGGTTTATTGGCATCAGGGTAGAAGTCTTCTTCGCCAGTGGTTTTGTAGTATTTGGTAGTCGCTTGTGAAGCCATTTTTTAAAAAACGGTTTTTTTGGCGCAGTCCTACAGGGACTCAGTTAAAGAGGCTTTTTCAACACTAGAAAAGGATGAAAAAGTATTATCGTTGGGATCTTGTGATCACCATCATCAGGATGATTCGTATATTCCAAAAGAAAGTAGAAAATAGGAGGATCATGGGAAACCTTCGGAAAAAGAAGAGAACAAGAACCCTTTGGACATAATTCTCTCAAATTCTTCCAAATTCCATCGGATTTTATGGGCAAGACATTTCAAAGTCTTTATTAGTATATCTTGTCCAATTTAAGTTGCAAAAAGCACCCACGATCACCCATCGCATATGAGCAATGTGCAGCACTTCAGTTTTGCTTTTGGTTTTGATTCTAATTCATTCTTTGCAAGATTTAAATATCTTGATTTCCCTGAACTTATTTTCTATTCTGATATGAACACTAGAGAAGATTTTGAGTAATGCAGAATAGAATTCAAAATCCAAAATTGCGGAATCACAACAAAATGCAGGTTGTTCTGATCCGTCTATTATTATGGTAATCAAATGTTTAAAATATTCTTCACTATTATCCATTCTGAACTGCAAAGTTTGCATAAATATATAGCCTTTTAGCTCAAAATACAGCCAATCAAGAATTCTAATTCTTATAGAGGTTATTGTTCGTTTTTCAATTTGAAAAACGCAACTCAAAAATTAGTCTGTACAATATTGCCGCAAATGTACAAGCGTTATCATAATTTCATCTTCCACTGAAATTTCTATTGGTCTACCTAATATATTGAATCGCGCTTGATTTCTCAATTGGATTAACTGATGAAAATCTTCTTGACATATTCCTGTAATTTTATGAATTACGTTGCAACGAATGACATATTGTGTAAAATTCAAATGCTGAATAAAGTTAATTGACAAAATATGCAGAAAATCCCACAAACACTGGACCTTTATCAAGGTCGGGTGTTTGGAGAGACTACAAACCCATTTGTTCCTCTAAATTAATCAAACGATTCTTGTTGTTTACGTCTTCGAAACACGGTGTTTCCATGTAAATTCCATGATCATAACATCATCACCCGAATTTAAAAATCCATTCGGATCATTACAAAAAAACATAACGAACATGACTACAAGAACACCAACACTTCAACGCTACTTACAATTTCTCGCAATAATTTTATCTCCTCTCGATGAAAGAATAAAGAAATGAGTGATCATTTTTTTCTTTTTTGTTTTTTTTAATACATCTTCGAAAACATCAAGTTTGTCATTCTCATATCCAAGCTTGTGATTCTCGCATCCATTTTTGTCAGTGTTTCATTTAAGCCACGAATTTGTTGAGGTAAATCGGAAAGAGAAAAATAGAACGAAGCCATTGCCTTATGATCGTTGTTGATTAAGGCGTTGTATATTTGATCTACCGACATTTTTTCATCAGCCAAATTTTCTTGAGAAACGGCCAATGCTTCTACGTTGGATGGCAGCTGAGAGGATGGCGATGTATTTGTTTCCACGTTGTTGGATGATGAAGCACTAGTGGTTACAACCTTGTTTTTGGATGATTGTTGAGAGGATGGCGATGTAGCTGTTACCACGTTGTTGGACGATGAAGCTATAGTTGTTACAATCTTGTTGTTGGATGATTGTGGAGTGGGTGTTTTGGTCATCGATTTTTTTTTTGTTGAGGATGGAATTGGTTGGGCCTCCTTTTTAAGAAGCGTTGATTGATAACGTTTGGACACAAGTTCGTTATACTCTTCAGCCACTGCCTCACGAGTAGCTTGGAGTAGTGTTTGTGCAACTTCAATGTTGTCAGCTTCTGATCTAAATCTCGAAATGGGTTTTGGGTTTGGGTTTGGGTTTGGGTTTGGGTTTGGGTTTGGGTTTGGGTTTGGGTTTTGGTTGTTGGGTTTTGGTTGTTGGGTTTGGGTTTGGGTTTGGGTTTGGGTTTGGGTTTGGGTTTGGGTTTGGGTTTGGGTTTGGGTTTGGGTTTGGGTTTGGGTTTGGGTTTGGGTTTGGGTTTGGGTTTGGGTTTGGGTTTGGGTTTGGGTTTGGGTTTGGGTTTGGGTTTGGGTTTGGGTTTGGGTTTGGGTTTGGGTTTGGGTTTGGGTTTGGGTTTGGGTTTGGGTTTGGGTTTGGGTTTGGGTTTGGGTTTGGGTTTGGGTTTGGGTTTGGGTTTGGGTTTGGGTTTGGGTTTGGGTTTGGGTTTGGGTTTGGGTTTGGGTTTGGGTTTGGGTTTGGGTTTGGGTTTGGGTTTGGGTTTGGGTTTGGGTTTGGGTTTGGGTTTGGGTTTGGGTTTGGGTTTGGGTTTGGGTTTGGGTTTGGGTTTGGGTTTGGGTTTGGGTTTGGGTTTGGGTTTGGGTTTGGGTTTGGGTTTGGGTTTGGGTTTGGGTTTGGGTTTGGGTTTGGGTTTGGGTTTGGGTTTGGGTTTGGGTTTGGGTTTGGGTTTGGGTTTGGGTTTGGGTTTGGGTTTGGGTTTGGGTTTGGGTTTGGGTTTGGGTTTGGGTTTGGGTTTGGGTTTGGGTTTGGGTTTGGGTTTGGGTTTGGGTTTGGGTTTGGGTTTGGGGTTTGGGTTTGGGTTTGGGTTTGGGTTTGGGTTTGGGTTTGGGTTTGGGTTTGGGTTTGGGTTTGGGTTTGGGTTTGGGTTTGGGTTTGGGTTTTGGGTTTGGGTTTTGGGTTTGGGTTTGGGTTTGGGTTTTGGGTTTGGGTTTGGGTTTGGGTTTGGGTTTGGGTTTGGGTTTGGGTTTGGGTTTGGGTTTGGGTTTGGGTTTGGGTTTGGGTTTGGGTTTGGGTTTGGGTTTGGGTTTGGGTTTGGGTTTGGGTTTGGGTTTGGGTTTGGGTTTGGGTTTGGGTTTGGGTTTGGGTTTGGGTTTGGGTTTTGGGTTTGGGTTTGGGTTTGGGTTTGGGTTTGGGTTTGGGTTTGGGTTTGGGGTTTGGGTTTTTGGGTTTGGGTTTGGGTTTGGGTTTGGGTTTTGGGTTTGGGTTTGGGTTTGGGTTTGGGTTTGGGTTTGGGTTTGGGTTTGGGTTTGGGTTTGGGTTTGGGTTTGGGGTTTGGGTTTGGGTTTGGGTTTTGGGTTTGGGTTTGGGTTTGGGTTTGGGTTTGGGTTTGGGTTTGGGTTTGGGTTTGGGTTTGGGTTTGGGTTTGGGTTTGGGTTTGGGTTTGGGTTTGGGTTTTGGGGGTTTGGGTTTGGGTTTGGGTTTGGG